TCTTAAAAACCAAACGACGAAACCTAAGCACGTAAAAATTCTAACGCACTACAAGCCATTGATTCACGTTTAAAATTTTGACCAGCTTGTGACTAGGCCGTATTTTGGCATATATCCTAGCACAACGCTCATTCCAGCGCAACGCTCATTTTCTTTGACTTATTGGTTACGAGACATGTCCCGTGGCATGTTTATAAATGAAGTTGACATGCGTATGTTCTTGGCGCTTTAGCATCCATCGTAATACACGAAATAGCATCAACGTATATATTTTCAAGATCGCAAAAGTTCTTACGATACAGCTAAAGAAAAATGTAAATTAGTCAGTTCGGGAAAAGGGTGCTTTGTGACCTAGTTTCAACGTCATCACTTCAGCATCACATAATGAGCGGTCGTAACATTTTGATCTGCAATAACACCCATTAAATGCTGTCTTTCTAACACGAAAATAAAATCTGAGAATACGAAACGTAACATTGGTATGCGTTGATCATCTCGGTGCTAACAAAAGTGCACTAAATACAGGGAGGCCATCATACTGCCTGCATAGATTGACAAACGGCAAAAAGTACCTATGAATAACACGCTTGGTGTTACCCAAGGTCTTTGGACATCCGATGCATATTCATGAAAATGAGCAATAGTCTTACCTCTTCTGTTTCTTAAAAGAATCAGATATTGGTGACCATTTTTTTGGTATGTAAAGTTCTTACATGTCCCTGGTTCGGAAGATATGACCCGTACCAGCATGGGTCAGGCTCTCTGGGGCCATACCGTCATATGTTATTTTGTCATGACGATATACCGAGAAATTCTGCTCAGCAAACGTCTCAAAATCTATGTTGAACACGCGCTCGGCTGACGGCCAATTTCTCTCATCTCTCACCCACTCGAATTTTTTTCCAGAAGAAGTTCGGAAAGGTACGGCAACGCCGTGCCAAATTCTGTTTATCTGTCAACAAAATAATGGCCGACATTTATATACAAAACATGGACATACCTCGGAGGGTCGCTGAACTAAAACAGGTTAAATCCAGGCCATCGCGACGGAATCGTTCCATATGATTCAACAAGGAAGTGTTAGACGAAGTGATAGAATCTTGAGATGGCTTCATAGACTTAGATGGTTTGGATTACGATTGCAAGCAATCTCATTAACCCTGGGTCGGATATGAAGATCAGATTAAGGTCAAACTAAACCGCTGTATTACTGGACAATTTGTTTCATAGAGAGTTTTGAAAGCTGAATTCAAATTTCTGGGTTACAAGTACGCCCAAAGATTACTTATTTTGTGTTCATGAAAGTCAGCGGGGTTACCGATCCAGAATGATCTATATCGGCCTTTTTCTTTGAGTGATGTGCCACGTGGGGTGAGACATTGCTCTTTGAATGTAAAATCAGCGACAAGTCTTATTAATCAAGTCATTTCGATGGTTTTTGCTTCTTTTTCCTTTTAGCAGGTCAAATAAAATCGCTGACCTCATATGACCACCTCTGATATTTTACTTATAAGCAAAGTTAAAGTTGTCTGTGTAAACGTGTCTGAGAGCACTTCGGACACTGATCTGGAATTTGACCTTAACTGACCCGATAGTCACGACCTAGGGATATCAAAGCATGGTACAAATGAACTCACATAGAGCTGGATATCTTTCCGTTGAGGGTGGTTTCTCTAGCCTTCTTAATTTGAGATCTCAAGGGGTCAAACTGACCTAACCATCCGAACGCCTCACATTCCATCGGCCACCCGGGCGCGCGTTAATGAAGTTGTTTTTATCTTGTAACGCGTAGCCACCAGATAAAAACTCACTTTTTCGCATCAAGGAGAATAATCTGCAAGTCTCTAACTAAATATTGTATAACCATGAGCGCATTTACTGCATTGCGCTCGGCACAATCCAATATCGCGCAAAAACTTTGGTGTTGCGCCATTCCATCCTCACCTAGCCAGAAGGCTCTGAATGGGTGAACCGTGCACTGGGATTAATTTCAATACTACCCTTGGGTGGCATCCTGCAGAATACAGGAATGATTTCCGGTAACATCACTGATAGCCACGATCTCATCAGGTACGATAAACGCCTTTGCTTCCTTAAACCACCGAGTTGTTTCTCAGGAATATGCTGATGTCAAGTGAGTTATCGATGATTCTATTCAACGTCGCTACAAAACCGGTGACACGTTCAACCACATCCACAAAGTGTGCAGCGGTCCGTGGACGCCCCTTGGCTTTGCTGAGGTATGGGAATGATACCTTGCATGGCTTCTTGGTGCTATACCAGCATTCAGAACAAATTCAGTTCTGCTTTGCATACTTATTAATCAATAATTCATACTTTGCAACCCGTTAGCCAGGCAAAGCAGGACTGGCATTGTGGTCAATCTCCCTGCTTTGCATCTCCCCACACGAGAAGCATATTCTTCCAGCCTACCAGTCAACTGCTCCAACGCCATCTGACTGTACACAGGCTGCCCTGAGGCCCACTGAAGCCGGTACCTGCGCGTCCCACGAAGGTCTGACACTGGACACACGGTACGCCATGACAGTAACAACGAGGGTCGCGCGTAACCAGCGGCCGAGGCTCGTTGTCGGGGTTGCAATGTTGCACTCCATGATCAATTGGAGTTTATTTTGCAACATTCACATTACTTTTTATTCTTATAAGGCTCAGCACATGTCGACATTACATCAAGCCTTACGAATCGGCACGGGATATATTTGTATATTGTGACCCGCAGTCAGACAGCTTATACTTGGGTTTCGGAAAGAATGCATCAGATAGCCGCTGGTGCAAAATTTAAAAAAAGATGGATGGATTATCAATGCATTAGAGCCACGTGACAGCTGGAATCCAAACGTCCCATTTCGGCAACGTCCGAACGCCGAAATGAATAACAGGCGTGATGTTTTGAGCCCTGAGAAGGCTGGTTAGACACTCGTAACCACTATTTCTGTTTTGTGACACAGCATAGGAAAGACGTCAAAAGTCAAGGCTTCGTAACGAGTTTAGAACGGACATTGTGTGAATCCGAAACAATGACTTTTATCCCGGGTCACGAGGTCACTTTCCCCTATTGACATAAGTATATTCTCTTCTGTTTTTGTTCTTATGTAAACACTGTGATTTTGAAGATACATATGTCTGTGATATTGCGTGCATCATGATAGGTGTTGTGGCGCTAAGAACATACCAATGTAAACTCCAATTACAAAACTCCGCGGGACATATCTGATGGCTTAAGTCAGGGGACCCGATATTGTGCCAAGTGGATTCTGCGCATCAGATAACCCATGGTACCAATTACCAGGCAAGCCTCAGATAAGACCTTGCCAATCGCGCTACGCTAGCGGGCGAATCACACCCCTAGTGTTTATAGTTATTTTCTAAAGCTGATATTTGTTGCGCTATGCTACATTCCTTCGTGGCGATCTACCATGCGTCCTAACGGCGAGCGCTCTCTCCGTAAACATGCGTCTCCAAAGTGTTCATTAACCCGATAACGATTTCTATACTTTGTTTCTCCTCCACAAAATATCTATGAGCAAAGGCTACAAGATTTCTTTCTTGCTACGATCTTCCGCGCACATTTCCATTTCAGCCAATCAGCGCATGTTTGACAAATCCTAACCTCGGCTGGACACATTAGGGCCCATAGTATTGGTCGCACCAGTATAGGGACTTTAACTGGGACCACTAGACCAAGCTATCCTAGGGCTACACATGCCACTTCATCGTAGGGCTGCGCTGACTTGTTTGCACGGTTTGTCGTCTGTAAAAGGGAGCTTCACATAGATATAGTCTGTTTGTTTTGCCCTTTTTGCAACTTCTACGCGAGCCTGTCGTACCGCTGAATTGAGACCGTGCTGCGAGAGCGCAATACCTCACTCTGTGTTTTCGATATTTATTCTCACAGAAAAGGATGGACGTTTTGTACAACACGCTCATACCATTGTAGATGGGAAGATACCCGTACCGCTGTTCGAATCTGTGGACCTCGCCACCACCTCGTCCGCCCCACTCCGCCCGACCCCTACCTCTCGAAGAGGCGGACCGGGGTCAGGTATGTCCAGGAACCGCCGCCTCACCCAGACACGGCGGGTCAGGTCTGCCTGGGAGCCGCCACCCCATCCCAGGCCCAGCGGTTCGGCTCAGCTCGATGTGACAGGCGCCGCTGACGGTGCTGAGGCCGTCGGTGATCCGCTGGTGGTGGGCGGCGGGCGGCGGGCGGCTGGCGGCGGGTGGCGGGCGGCGGACGACGGACGGCGGGCGGCGGGCGGAGGCGGGCGGCGGCGGCGGGCGGTGGGCCGGTGGACGGCGGGCGGCGGGCCGGCGGCGGGCCCCGTCCGACGCCGCGGCTCAGAGAGGGTCGCAGCAGGCGGCCGGCGGCGAGCAGGGCCGGCCCGGCCGCGGCAGCCCGCCGTCACCCGCCGCCAGGATGCTGTCGATGCTGAAGGAGCGGGCGCGGGCCGGTTCGGCGGCGGCGGCGGCGCTGCGCCTCGGCACCGGCCGCCGGACCGGCTGCGTGGAGGGCCGCGCGGCGGCCGGGGGCGGCCCGCCGTCCCACCGGCGTCCCGGCCGCCGCCGTCGGCCAGCCGCTCACGTCCAGCGACTCCCGCTCAATGCCAAGTGACTCTGGCAACCCGAAGCACCGGCGGCCATACCAGCCGCTGCACTGAGAGCGACGCACGCCGAGGTCACCCGCTCCGTCCAGCCCCCAGCCATGCACGGCACAGCAGGACTGCTGTCCAGCTGGAATGGGCTCCAGACCAGCACTGCATAACTGCAGTCCAGCAGGGTTTGGCTGCAGTCCAGCACTGCATGGCTTCAGTTCGGCGGGGCTCGGCTCCAGTTCAGCATTGCATGGCTTCAGTTCAGCAAGGCTCGGCTCCAGTTCAGCGGGGCTTGGTTTCAGTTCGGCACTGCATGGCTTCATTTCAGCGGGGCTCGGCTCCAGTTCAGCATTGCATGGCTTCAGTTCAGCGAGGCGAGGCTCCAGTTCAGCGGGGCTTGGTTTCAGTTCGGCACTGCATGACTCCATCGTCAAACAGCGCGTCTCCTGCCCAAGACAGCGTACCCTCAGTCCGGGACAGCACGGCTCCACCGCGGGCTGATGTGACTCCAGTCTGGACAGATGTGGCTCGAGCCTGGCGCAGTATGACCCCAGGCCGGAGCAGCACGGCCACGCGGGCCAGCACGGCTGCAGTACGGAACGACACGACTGCAGCTCGGCATGGTATGACCCAAGCTTGGGTCGGCAAGGTGCCATCCATCCCGGCGAGAGTGACTCCAGTCCGGAACGGTATGACTCCGGCACGGACCAGTATGGCTCCAGGCCAAAACAGGACGAGTTCAGTCCGGGACGGCACGGCTCCAGATTGAGACAATGAGACTCAAGTACAGGCCGATGTGGCTCCGGTCCAGGCCGGCGTGGCGCCAGGCCGGGAAGGTAGGCCTGCAGACCCGGCCGGCACAACTGCAGAGACCCGGCGGCGTTTCGCGGCGCCGTAGGCAGCTGACTCTTCCCGTCTCCGTCCAGAGAGCGCGGCAGCGCGACGTCGGTGACGTTTCTCAGCGCCGTGGTCAGCTTGGTCTTCTCGTCCCCGTCCAGGCGGAAGCGGCGTCGGCGGCGAAGCAGAGACCCGTCCTCGAACATCCTGAGCGCCCTCGGGTGCAGCGTCCAGAGCGCCCCCTTGCCCGGCCGGCCCGGTCGGCGCGGTACCTTCACAAAACAGTCGTTGAAGGAGAGGTTGTGGCGCAGAGAGTTCTGCCACTTCTTGCAGTTGCCTCTGTAGTAGGGGAAGCGGTCGGTGATGAAGCGGTATATCTCGCAGAGGGGCAGCATCCGGTCGGCGCTGGACCAGATGGCCATGGCTGTGAGCGATATGTAGGAGAAGGGTGGCTTCTCCTCCCGTCCCGGGTCCGACTGAGGACGCGGCATTGGACGCGTTCGTCCGGTGCGCCACCACTGAGGACCTCCTCGCCAGAACCAGCGCGGCCAACAGATCCGGACAGCAGGGTGCTCGCAGCCAGGCTAGCTCGGCCACCACCGCCAGCCAGCCACCGCCCAACCAACACTGCGGCGGCTCCTCGAACCCGAGCGACAGCGTCGCCGCCTGAGCTGCTGTGCTGCCGGTCGTGATCGCCCCTCCCTTCCCTGGCACATCATTGGTCCGCCGTCCGTGGAGGGCGGGACCGGGGGCGGAGCCAACAGCAGAGATGACTCGGCGGAGGCTGCCGAGCGCTCGACGGAAGGGACTTCCACACCACCTCTGGTGCAGGGAGGCGGGGGCTCAGAAGGGCAGCCCTGGGGATGTCAGCTCTGGCGCGGGGAGGTGGGGGCACAGAGGGACAGCCCCAGGGATGTCAATTTTTTTGTAAATAATTTGGGAGTGGGGCGAGCCAACGGCTGACGATCTAACCCTCCCCCATTTTTTCAACGGACCTAGCCCACATTGTTTCGGCGAAAGGCAATTCATATTGTAAACTTTTGTGTCATTTCAAAAATGATCTTTACTTCAATCAGCATAGCAGTCTTGCAATGACGGATCCGGTGGGAGGGCTAAAGGAAAGTGCTCTTTCTGATCTGAAGCTAAATACGGCTCTCCGGAGGCTGCCTCAGAGCACCCAAGGGACAGTTTACCGAGGTCATGGGCGGCGGCACGTATTTTTGGTCGTGGGGGGGGGGGGGGGGCAGTGACCAGGGCTAGTCAAGATGGACTTTGGTCATTTCCGCACTCTAGAGCTTTCCAGCTTAACCTATCAGGTCTTTTTGTGTCTTGTGGTCCTAGCTCTGTAAAGTTTATTACATCGGTTATCAGCTCTGCTGTTGCGCGCCATCTGGCGGTGAGAACGAACACGGCTTTATATTACGAGGGTAGTGGGTGTTGTAGTGTAGTGTTGGTTTTTTATACGGCGAACATATCTGCTTTGTTTCTACATTACTGATACAGTTACGGGGCTTGGGGGCCAAACCATATGACCAAATTACACGATCTACTCCGCGTTTACTTTTGTCCATGGATTGAGGTCGAGGCGGCTCCTATGCAAAATGCTGCTCTTTTGAAAGTTACGATTTTTGCGTGGATCGCGAGGGGTGCACGAAAATTTTGGTCTGAAGTTGGCATTGTACCAAACCTTTTAATCTATGTCACGGTATCGACAATTGTAATCTACAACATATCCTAATCAACGATACTCAACAGTACCAAATTTGTTCGACAACTCATATTGGGCAAGTCACCTTAACCAATAGCTTTGTCGGATTGAGGCTAGAAGTAAACTGCTTTAATTGGACACTTAAAAAAGCGCGGTTAAGACAGCGGTGGGGATGAGTTTGTTATACCAGTTGTGTCAGTGGTGAGGAAAATGCATGCGTTGTTGATAGCACCGCCACATACATGCCTATCATTAAATTGTTGTTGCGCTCCTTGAGGAGTGCCCATATTTCCGTTGAATGGATATATGGTATATTATGAAAGCCATTTTAATTTCACGTGGGTTACTTCTTCATAAGCATGACAAAGTGATAAACGGTCAACCTACGAAATAAGTTGTATTTGAATGCGTAAGAAGACGCATAATACAATGATATCATTATCTGCTGCACAGAGCAATGCACTCAAAAACTTTGCAACCTAAAGTTCGGATTTAATCCCAAACTTGGTAAATTATCTACAATGGCAGAAGACCGCAGTTGCATACCTGTTTTAAAACATGTTAACCACACGATACCAGATGAAGCTCGAAATCTCTTGTCATATTGTTCCAAAAGCGTAAGGCTATCAAAAACAATACTTTTTCCAATCGATGGTGCTCGATATTATTCGAGTTTAACTAAGCGTGGACGCGTTTTTGTCACAGATGACACCTTTTGACAACAAAGTTAATGAAGAGGCAATGTATAGACATCCCCTTCCTACAGGCCCGGTGGCTGCAGTGGATAAAATGCTCACAAAATAGACGGAAACGAAACTTCGGTAGAGTGCTGAGACTGTACTGACCACGTCCGCGATGTAGCGAAACGCGTAGTGGTAGGTTCGCCCTCCGGAACAGGTGTCCATTTAGTTGTTGGCCTAACAGTGTCAGCCTGGTTAAAGAACAGTCGCCGGTCGTGTAGTCGCATGACACGACAAAGGCCCTTTTGTGCATTTGGATAAGGGACCGAGGAAAAATAGATCTGCTGAAGATGTATTACAACAATGGAAAGGTGGGTTAAGAGTACTAGCGATAAACTATGCTCAGCATGGAATCGTTTTCTGTATGGTTTACGATCTTGTAACTGAACTAGACCACTATCGATGCCGAGCCAAAACAAAAGATTGTCGCCCGATTTGGTTTACCTCTCAAAGCTGTGACCGCTCAGTTGAGGACATAAAATAAAGAGGATCGTGTTTGTGTATTGTTCAACTCTTACCTACATTTTTATAATATTCCTACCCAATTTTTTGGGGTGAGCAAACCAACATTGGGGGGGGGGGAAAGGACCTAAGTAATACAAATCGACACTCGTTGGCAGCTTCTCGACGCCCTCCCCCCCCCCCCCCCCCAACTGAGGAATTACCACCAGCTCAGCCGTATTGCATGAAAAGAAGAGACATTGACTGTTGTTGATTGATCCCCGGTTGTTGGTGTCACCTGACCATTTCCCGCGGCGGCACCATAGACCACAGGAGAATGGCAAGCTTGCGATGGGTCAAGTCGTTCCTGGATTACTTCGGGGCTTGAGAATGTTCCCAAAAATGGGAGGGTGCAATGCTTACCTGAGGCAGATTGACTAGTGCCGGTATAACAAAGATACTTCTGACTTTCTTGCACGCCGGTGGAATCAAGATGATAGCAGAGCAAAGAAGAAGTGTGTGTGTGGGGGGGGGGGGGGGTATCTTAAACGAAAATTTGAGTGAGTGTGGTATGTTTATTCCGTGATCGCTTCCGATTTTTTCTGAGGTGATCTTCTTGTGTGTAACTGTGATACTCTCTGCCATCTCGCGTGCTTTTTTAGAAAATGAAATGGTGACTGCAAATTCAATAACACTCACGTCTCGAGACTGCTTCCGTTGCCGTTTCACTTCTTTACCAGCTCGCAGAACGCGATACGTGCGACCATCTGGCTACGCAACGGGTGCGCAGCCAGAGCCTTGAAAATTGGGGCGGGGGGGGGGGGGGTTGCCAAAGGTCCCCAAAGCCCCTCCCAAAACACCGATTTGAGCTCCTTAAATCTGAGAGGCATGATTGGCGTCGTTTTGCTCTTATTCTCACCTTCTTTAACTGGGGCAGAAACCAGAAGCTACCGGAATAGGCAATTCTGTTTGTATTTTGCAGTACAAAAACTGAAGGAACTTGAAATTGAATAATGACTGCATGAAAAAGAATAATCCGCCTGCGCGCTAAGATGGTCCCTTGAATTCGTTCTAAGCCGATGGAGCCCAGAGGCTTTGGCAGGATTTTTCGTTGGTCTGCACAGAGCTATAAATGGTCCGTAAACGTATGCTATAGGTAAACCCCCGAAGCCCAGCATTGCAATTTCCATTGGCCTGTGGCGTCGGTCGCTTAGGACATCAGTTCAGAACTTTGAACAGCCACCCCGACGGAGGTACCAGCGCGATGTGCACATTTATAATAGAAATGAATTAGCATTTACAGCAATGCAACCTGGTGCTGGAATGTGATGGTGGAAGTGGAAGAGTAGAGGTAGGACCTCGATGTCTCGTATTGCGAACATCTTAATCTCTCCATAGGACAACCTCAAAATTATGCAGGTGAGATGAGCGCACTAATGCGTGTTTTAATACAACGAACTGATTTTGAACGACACTCGCATTATTATGTTATGACGGTCATTCTCGCGCTCGGCGCCCGCCGCCCGGTGTCATCTGCAGTGGCCTACTCCGTTCGGTTTTAGGGAGACTGTGACATCGGCCATGGCTGCCACTGGTCCTAGGATTGCGAGCGCGCATCGTCGAAACTTTTTTGTGTAATTTTTCGTGAGTTAATTCGCAAAATGACGGACGTTCTCAGGAAAACAGGGCCTGGTCCTCTAATCTTTCGTCTCGTTGCAATCCCCTCTATAAAAACTAGTAAACTCTCTTGCCTTTTCCGGACTAGGCGCCCGAGGGTAGAACATTAAAGGGTACATTGTAGTTTCCGGGCAAGGGCTGAAGCGCCGTTCCGTCCCAGCGCGGGGTGCCAACCGGCTGCCATTCCAGCAAGACGGGGGCGGGGATGCTGGGTACCCTGGTCGATCAGGGGATCCTCAAAGAGATTCATCATACGTTGGTCCCCTCCCTGACACGGGAGGCCCTCTGACTCGGGCAATTGGCCCCACATAGACGGAGGAGCCCTCATTGATGCGAGATCTCTTATCACTGCAGGTAGCTCAATAACTGGCACAGATACTACAGTTCGGCTTAACGAGCCCTTGGCTAAAATGGGGTAGCGGGCTCCTTATGTACTGAAGGCCCTGGCTAGCACAGGACCCTTCTACTGTCTCATTTTTGGCTCTCATCATAAACTGCTGATGAACATAAACTGCTTAACAGATGGCCCCAACCAACGCAAGTGGCCCTCAGGCATTCGAGATGCTGTTCCTGTCCCTGTTCAGCAGACATTCTCCTGGCCGATTCAGCCAGCCTTGCCGACGCGTGGCCCCTGTAAGACACTGTGCGTCCCTGACCCTCAAGGGCCCCCATTTTTGCAGGGACCCCGAACAATGCAATTTGCGAGCGCCGGCCCCGTGCCTGCTTAGGAAAGGCGCCCCGCGCGATGCAGATATTAAAAATATCTGTATCTCATTTGCGTCAAATGCGTCATCATTTTTGTACGCCTATTGGCTGCCGCCTACAAGGGTCGACGCCGCGCGATCTATGGAGACTGAAACGCCGGGCATCTAGGTCTGTGTTTCGAAGAGTTGCGAGCGCGCACACTCTCAGCTATGGTACAGATTTCCTTTCCTTTTCGGTTCCGAATGGAAGCTAAACATTCCCAGACGAGCGTAGGCTGCCTATGGCCATACAAATTGTTGACCACATTTCGATCTACAGTCAATCTTTACGGACCCCTCGATATCTCAGTAGTACCCAACACAAATTATTGTAAAGCCCCTTAGTTCCGTCGGTTTCGATAAATTCCACGTAACCACTGTAAAATGAACAGGGACTGCGGTTCAATCTGTGCGGACATTAAGCGCCCACCTTCTCCGTGTATTGACATCAAAATGTGAACAGCATTGCATGATTCGGTAGCTTCTCGGTCCTGTTTCACTTAAAAAAGTAAGAGAAAATAAAACGATGTCGTGGCTCATCGAAATTAAGTGCGCCAAGTCGGTTTTTTTAGAGAAAGGGCTTTCACCCAGGGTAAGCACCGACGGACTTTTCGTTCGGGGCGGGATATTCCAGAGGGCCTCCTGGAAAAAATGAGGCCTCACAGGGGCCGTCCTGGACAGTGCCATATTCAAGAGGGAGGGACATCGAGGACATGTGTCCTCCAGGCTCTAGCGAGGGGCATCGAGGGCACGTGTCGTTCTAATTCACAAGGGGCCTTCAGATTAGCAAACGGGCCTCGTTATGCCGAAACAGGACATTCTGACCCTCAACCGCGACCATCTGATGCATGAAAGTGACCTTCTCTACATAGAAGGTGCCTCCTAACCTAGAACAGAGGCTTCCTAGCTCGTAACGGGGGTCTCCAGAGCCAGCAAAGGGGTCCCGTTAACATAGCATTGGGCTTACTCATCCAGAACATGGGTTGCCTTATCCACAAAGGTGGCCTCATGGTGTAGCAAACGGGCCTCTTGGTATAGAAAAGCGTCTTTTAAGTACGATTTATTACTCACCAGGTCAGTTATGGGTGCCCCTTGATCTCAATTTTGGTTCTGAATGGGGCTTATGCCCTCTCCCTGCCCCCAACCCCCTTACCAACGCTACACCCTGGCTGGAAACCACAACAGATGGCGAGATATGACCTCGATCACAAAAGCAAACGCTTAACATGTTAATTCCGTCGTAAACGTAATGGGCTATCTAGCAGTGATTATCGTTGTTTTCGCTTATCCATTGGATAACTGCACTCTGGAGTAAACAACTTAACCTTAAGATTTCATTTTGAATGAGGAGGTATGGACACTTAAAGTGCTGGGGCGAAATGGGACGGGATAGAATGTTATTTTGAGAAAATTGGAGGACACGTCCCCCGCCCCCCCCCCTTGGTTACGCCCGTAACTTGGGTATAAAGATAGCAGGGATTGGTATATACTCGTCCACCAACGCAAATCTACAAAAGCCGTGGCGAATTCCCGTCTTTACGAAATCGGCTTGAACTACCACACCTATATCTCTTCTAAAGGTAGTAATTAGTGACCGTGATAATTTTGCTTGCCACACTGCATGGGTAAAAGTAAGCTGGCGTTTCGCTATTGTTAGAATAGCACGGTTGCTTAGATGGGCGACGCCGCCCTGACCGTTCATATCGGGATCCGCACCCGTCTTAGATGGGCGACGCCGCCCTGCCCGTTGATATCGTGATCTGCACCCGTCTTAGATGGGCGACGCCGCCCTGCCTGTTCATATCGTGATACGCACCCTCCTCGACCTGCTCTGGTCGTCATGGCGACAAAAGTACGGAACGAAACGTGGGTGACGTCCGTTCTGATTTGAGGACCAAAGGTCTACCATTCGTGCGTCGCTTACTACATCGAGCATGCGACCTCTATTCGATTTTCAAAAATGGTGCCAGTGCAGAACATCTATTTGCTTATCCAGATCAAAGTAATATAAATACGCAGCGGTTCGAGTACATGACCATGTACAGTGTCAACAGCCAGCCAACGAGGCGTCAGGCTCTGACACCACCAGCCTTGATAACAATATCACAAAGCGTCGCAGGCGAACACTGCCACAGTTCGTCAGCGGTAGCAAAAGTCGGCTAAAAACCCGAGGCGTGCCTCCGCACCATTATGCACGCCGACAGACTAGTAAAACACGCATCTCATGCCGCGCGGACACCGGTCACCGCGACCGCATTCGGGCTGAAGCGACGGCGCACCTGCAGCACCGCGGAACTCTGCCGACAGACGGCACGTGCTGCCCAGCCGGGACCCGCCGTGTGGGATCCCCAGAGAGCGGAGAAAGCAAACCTAGAGCCCAAGAGGGCGGAGAAACACCCTGCCAGACAACCAGACGAGAGTCATGTCTAATGGTGATTCATCCAACAATTAGGATAAGACATAAACTGTCTTGCGTAAACGCTGGATATGATAACACACCACTGAGCGGAAAATACTTGCATAAAACGCTTGAGAATTAACGACCAAAAGTCGTAAAAAGGTCAATAACGAACGAAACAGGACCACATTGTCTGGTGCACGCCCCAACACCGGCACTGCTGTAGCACCCGGTAACGTTGCGCAGAGCCGCCAGCTGGCTACGCTTACGTCATGGCCCGTCGCATGACCGCCCCTGCTACGGTCCGCTGGCGGCGCTTCCCTGCCGCGGTCTGTTGGCAGCGCTTCCCTGTCACGGTCCGCTGGCAGCGCTTCCCTGTCACGGTCCGCTGGCGGCGCTTCCCTGCCGCGGTCTGTTGGCAGCGCTTCCCTGTCACGGTCTGCTGGCGGCGCTTCCCTGTCACGGTCCGCTGGCGGCGCTTCCCTGCCGCGGTCTGTTGGCAGCGCTTCCCTGTCACGGTCTGCTGGCGGCGCTTTCCTGTCACGGTCTGCTGGCGGCGCTTCCCTGTCTCAGCGCGCTGGCTCAGGCCGTTCCTGCGGCAGCCGGCCGGCTCCGGCCGGCCGCGCTACAGCCCGTACTGACGGCCGCGCTGCGCCGCCAGGCCGTCCTCGTCGCACGCCACGATACTGTTCCGAACGAGCACGTTCACTAGTCCGGGTGTGACGCTGAGCAGCGGCGTGGGCGCGCGGCACTCGACGAACGGGAAGAAGGCGTTGGGCAGCGGCTGCTCGACGGCCGAGGCGCGCGCCGAGCGCCGCACGCCGACGCCGGCACGCTTCGACTCGAGCTGCGCCTCCAGCGTGTCGAGCTGGCGGCGCAGCCGGCGCTCGCACTCCTCGTCAGCCGCCCGGCCGCCGCGAACCACGTCCAGGTTGGGCACCCAGCGGCAGAAGCAGCGCGTCCAGAGCCGCAGCGCCGCCACCGAGGCGACGGGCAGCAGCAGGTCGGACAGGCGGCGGCAGCGGCGCGGCGGCGGCAGCGGCGGCCGGCTGGCTTCGGCAGGCCGCGCCAGCTGCGCCAGCAGACCGTAGCCGGCGGCGGCGGCGGCGGCGGGCCGGGCGCGCGCAGGGCCCGCTGTCGGCTGGTACATCGGATTTTTGAACAGCCGCCGCTGGTCCGCATCCAACTGGGCCGACCAGTGCCAGACCGGCCGGCGGCACAGCGGGTAGTCGTGCTCCTGCAACCGAAAACCGGACTGCTTACAGCTGACGTGAGGGAACGCTTCCCCACCCTGCGACACAGCCTTTATTTTCTGACCGACAACATTAAAATGCAGCCAGGGTGCCCCTCCCACTATTCCCGCGATACAAAACCCCCGCATTACAGTCATTCCCCGGGAGCTGAGACTGATGTTAGCCCGCGCAACAGAACCCATTCTGACCCTCACTCACCAGAGAACTCGATAATCGCTTGCCTTAATTGGATTGAACAGACATCGTTTCATTTTTGCAACAGAATCTACATTTCTAGACCATGATAGAATGGGCACTTTCCAACCATGACGTCAGAAGGACATCTCACTCCGAAATTTGGAAAAATTTTGTAAGGTTATTGTGGCCATGTTTAGCAACCAAATTGCATGCCAGAAACGCAGTGGAGTTTGCAACTTACACAACTAGCACATATGTAAAGATAAAGTTAAAAATGAAACATAAGCGGTTACATGGAGGAAAAAAAACTAACGATTTTGTGATGTGAAGTCTACGATACGTTCCTTTCAGCATATACAGTTGTTACATACTCTTTACAAGCTCGTCGGTGAAGTCTGACACCACACCGAGCCGGGTCCATGTGGACGATATGGGGTACAATCAGTGTGCATTCTCCGTAGTCAACCCACTATGTGATGAATCGAGAGCCAGATCTGCCCATCATTTCAATGGTTTATCTTATTTCCATACCTTTCTGTTGCAGCGATTTACCCATTTCATATTGGGTAACTATACTGCTTCAAACCAAGTTGGGCCCCGATCCGCCATTAAGTATACGAATGCAGGCCTCCCCACATGTATACACATATACATGCAGGGGAGGACTTACGCGCTGGGCCGCCCGCAAAATGTGCCCCATATTATGACACGGGAACGCACAGACATGCTACCAGTTGCATTCCTTGAAATTATTCTTTCCACTGAAAATGGAGGAGACAGAAGCCTTGGTGAAGCTCGCAACAAACATTTTACCATTTTCATGCATAGACAGCATGATGCATGTATGTGACTGTTCATATATATTCCCAACCTTTCTTTAGGGTGGAAAATATATCTTCCTCTAATTACGATGAGCGTGCTTTTAAATTTCATAATATACCATTAGGTCAGTTATGTAAATGATGAAAAAGCGGGCTGTGCGCAGACCTCTTGGGTTGTCACAATGAACCTGCTCGGATCAGGCGAGGTATCATTTAGTCTGGGTTTTTGGAATCAGTTTACATTTGATCCCAATCAGTTCTAAGCACTTCTTTCAAAACCATATCTGAATAGCTACGTCAAGAATATATGATATTTCACGGCGTCAAAAGCGTGTATAATGTTTAAACACACGTTTTCATGTTCTAGTTTCAGTAACACGTAAAAATGAATGAAGGCATGGTCCGTTCGACGTTTTCTCGCAGCTCAAAATGCTTTTGCAAAGCGGCCTTCCGCTCCAACGAAGTTTTTAACTCTTTCGCAGATTTCTACACATGCATTCTACCAACACGCTCGCAAAATTGATGATTCATTGCCTCATTCCAATACCGTGACCAGTCGTGCACAGGGAACTTTCTATTATTAAGGGTCGGATCACTAGACATGTCCGACAGCGGGCCCCATGGTGCCCCGTAAGACAGCAGCTTTAGACCCTCATGTCTTCGCCATCGTTTCTTAAGGCCCCTGATATTACGTTTTCGTGTGATGCAGTAAGCAACGTTAAGCTAAACATCGTCTGGCGCTCGCACGCCACACTTCTCCCGATGCCTCCGGACCACCCATTCACCCGGACCCATGTGCCTCCTAGCGAAGCTTTGCGTTTTTGTGAGTGCCAATTCGGGCTGGCTCTGGATCGGCCACTGATGGTCACCTGAGAGCACAAGCTGTAACTACAAATGAAATCTCGCTGCGTGGCTTTCATGTGCCTAATCCAGCCATGGGTATCACTTTATGATGAAAACACGGAATTACGAATCCCTGATCACGGCCTTGTGACGAGGTGGGAAGAGCCGTGTATCGACACTCGGACACCGCAGGCACCATGAAAGGAGACCACTAAGTCTGCCCGCCCAGTCACACCCTAGGCGCACCTTGGCCGAGACAGCCTCCAGCCGCTCCTTCTCCGAATTGAAAAGAAAGGTGTCGAACACGGACACGTGCAGCGAGTCCCACAGGCTGATCAGGTACGTTTCCGTGAACTCGAACCGCGCCGGAAACTGCTCCAGCAGCTGGTGAACGCAGTCCAGCAGCAGCAGGAACACCGGGCTCTGTCGGCAGTGGGCCGCGGTGTTAGGCTCGCACCGGCAGTGGGATGGCACCAGCGGTGGGACGGCACCGGCGGCGGGGCGGCACCAGCGGCGGGACGGCACCAGCGGCGGCGGGACGGCACCAGCGCCGGCGGGACGGCACCAGTGTCGGCGGAACGGCACCAGTGGCTGGACGGCACCAGCGGTGGCGGGACGGCACGAGCGGCGGACGGTGGCACCAGCGGCGGCGGGACGGCACCGGCGACGGCGGCACCAGCGGCGACGGCGGCACCAGCGGCGGGACGGCACCAGCGCCGGCGGGGACGGCAGCGGCGGGGGCCGGGCGGGACGGCACCAGCGCCGGCGGGACGGCACCAGCGCCGGCGGGACGGCACCAGCAGCGGGCGGCACCAGCGGCGGGACAGCACCAGCGGCGTCGGCGACACCAGCGGTGGCGGGACGGCACCAGCGGCCGCGGGACGGGACCGGCAGCGGCGGGACGGCCGGCCAAGCCATTAGCTGCTCAGTGGCAGGTCAGGGGCGCGACCGGTGGGACTGTGACCAAATGCGTAACAAAACAAGCTGAAGCTTACTGGTGTTCGAAATAAAGTTACCGGCGTCCTACCAGCACATCACCAGCCGCAATAACGTCATATTGTCAAAACACAACAAAAAATCATCATGCCCGCCCACTGTTAACTCGTTTAGCTGCCGCCAGCCCCTGTGCCGGTTACAGGCCTGGCCAGGGCTAGTCCCCGACTCACCTTGGTGCCACCCTCGCGGTACACCAGGCCGAGCCGCTCCTGAAAGGGGTGGCCGAGGGCGACCCATTCGCGGTGCAGCAGCCGCTGGAAGCCGGCCAGAGAGCGGCAGTGCGGGTCGACCATCAGCTGGGCCAGGCACGACACGACGGCCGTCAGGTCGCGCCCGCTCGGCTCTGTCGGCAGGCGGCGCGGCCGGTCAGACGGTCACGCCCGCTCTCCGCGGCCGCTGGTGACGGGCCAACGCCGGGCACCAGCCACGCACCCGACGCCTCTCATTCGTATTGCCTCAGTACAGAGCGGTTCACTGGCTAGATGCGCAATCGGGACACAATGTCCCGGAAAGTGTGGTGGCTGGGAATCAGACGATCAGACAGCCTGAGATGGTCAGGCAGTCGCCGTACTGAATGCGGAAATGAATCGAGAATAGTTCGAGTATATTGCTTGATGTGGACTGGAATCATACACAGCTAAAGATATTCTCTGCCGGGGGCGATACAGCATATTAGGAGAACGGTCGCATGGCTGATTTCTGATGACGATTGAAGCTTTATGGCGCACCGACGTCCGAGGTCAAATTGCGTCCATGTTTCAGTAGCTTTCCAACCGCGCCGCACACCATCAGGATCCCAACACAGGCTCGTCCCACGCGCAAAACATGACGCTCGCCGTGCTGAGGCCACACGAAGGTCTCCAGCGGACCCCCACCCGGCAGCCCCGGCTCGCAGCGGGCCCGCCCGCCGGCACTGCCGCGGCCCAGACGGCGCGTCCCACACACCAGTGAGGATGACCACCGTGCGGTGCTCGGCGAGCGTGCGCACGCAGTCGGCGGCGGCCGACAGGCAGCGCGACACGGCCGACGGCCACCGGCTCGCGCCCAGCAGGCCCAGAAACCGGCCGTCCGTCTCCACAAACGACCGCACGCTCTCTGAAAGACGGACCGTGGTACAGCACACACTCTCTCGAACACGACAACTCCCCACAGTCGCCATGAACCACACGCACGTTAGGGGCCGTCCCCAAGGAGACGGCGCAGAAAAAAATATACATATCTACGTCGCTTTTCACCTGCTGTTAGTTATGGCACACACCATGGCTTCATGCTTCCCACAGTCTTATGAAGGTCCCGGAAGTTTTAGCTACACAATACAGTCCTTAAAGTAAATCGAAAAATTGTGTGAAAATTGTCAAAGTTAACATGTACCATTCCTGTTAATCAATGCATCACAAGTGCACCCAATCAACTGCACGCTTTGGAGAGACAAACCCCATTATTACGCTAAAAACCGTAAGACTGCGAGAATTGTGGGCTAATTGCTACCCTCCACATAGCTGGAGTCGTGAGTCACCGACAAAGCCGCTGCAAGTTGGAATACTCTGGGCCTGGTGTTAACTTACCGAGGTCCGCCGGCGGCATACCACAACAGACAACGCCCCCCCCCCCCCCTCCCCCCCACACACAGAGTACACTTCATGAAGACCTAGGACTACTAACCCACGATTTAATTACTGGCCTAGATATCGTCCACCGGCTGATACGGCATGCCGCAGGGACCGGCCCAGGCCAGCTCACCTGGCGAGCAGATCTCGCGCAGTTTGACGTAGCTCTCCTGCACCTCCTCCACGGACGGGCAGGTGACGCCCACGTCCTGTTTCACCGGCTCCTTGGAGAACGGGTGGGACGACCGGATCGTGTCCAGAAGCATCTGCTCCTCCTGGCTGCAACACGGTTAGGTGCACAGCCATTCAGGTACTGACATTGTCAAAGAACGCCGCCCTCGGCAGGAAAACAAGCAGATTACTTGCTGTAGTATGGTGCTGCCAGCACATGGGCCAACACATGACAGCTTCCGTCACGAAGGGTGTCTGCGAGAGTGAGCGAGAGCGACAAAGACAGAGACGGAGACAGAAGCGTAAACGTAAACGGCTGAGAGATAGAGAGAGTGAGAAAGAGAGAAACACAGAGAGAGATAAAGAGGGAGAGAGGAAGTGAGGAAGAGAGAGAAAGAGAAAGAAAGAAAAGGGAAAAAGAAATAACGAAAGGAAGACAGAAAAGAAAGAAGGAAAAAGAAAGGAGAAGAAGAAAAGAAGAAAAATAAAACAAAAAAGAGGAAGAAAGAAAGAACAGAAGAAAAAGAGAGAAGAAGAACAAAAAGAAGAAACAGAAAAGACAGAAGAAGAGAAGGAAACAGAAAAGCGAAGAAGAGAACAAGAAGAGAAAAGAGAAGAGAGAAGAGAGAGAAGAGAGAAGAAAGACGAATGGAAAGAGAGGAAGAGGAGAAAAAAGAGAGAGAAGAGAGAAGAGGAGAGAGAAGAAGAGAAGAGAGAGAATAAGAGAGAGAGAGAAGAGAGAGAGAGAGAGAGAGAGAGAGGAGAAGAGAGAGATAGAGAAGAAGGAGAGAGAAAAAGGCCTGTCTGGACGATGAGAGATAGAGAAAGTGACAAGAGGAGAGAGTAGAGAGAGAGAGAGAACGAGACAGAGCGAGGAGGAGAGAGGAGCGAGAGAAGAAGAGAGAGAGGATAGGAGAGAGAGAAGGAGAGAGAGAGAGAGAGAGAAGAGAGAGGAGAGAGAGACCAGAGGTGCAGGCGGCCCGGGTCTCGGCTGCGCTCACCTGTGCCGGCCGGCCGGCTGTGTGTAGGCCGCCCGAGCGATCGCCGAGCCGTCCGGGTGGCCCCAGCACCACACCGGCGGCCGCGAGTCCACATAGTGGCCGCTGGCCGCCCTCAGCTCGGTGTCCAGCACGCCGTTGGGGACCACCAGCACCTCCGGCAGACTGTCGGCCAGGCACACCAGACGCGTCAGGGCCACATCCAGATCCCGGCACCCGCTGCAGGCCGCTGCTCGCTACGCTGTTCACAGAGCCCCTAACTTCAGCGGCAGTCCGGGTCAGTCCGTGTTCACCGTCGGCGGCTCCGGTGAATTGGCCGCCATCGGCATTGGAGGCCATTTCTTCCGACGGAACAATAGAAAATAAGACGGTGACGCGGTGTAGTGTGTAACGCTAATTGAACTTGCTACGCAAGTACGTTATCCACCACGTGGCCTGCTGTTTCATTGTCTCTTATTGTCGATTTATCCAATCGGGTGAAACAACACAAAGATCTCTGCCGTCTCTGTGCAGCATTTGTATGTCCGCAAAAACACCTGTTTCGAGTTAACATGCCGGGATTTACCTCTCTTGGACAATGATAAGTAATCTGGGGTAAAGTCATGAACATCCATCACATTAAACCTAGATTGCTTTACACATGCTGTAGCGTTCTGTAGGTCATACTGCGTTTTGGTATAGTCAGAAATTAATATTATCCGAGACAATACTATCACCAAAAGACATCCTTTGGAGCCAATCCCAATACCCAGTCCCATATCACATTCATTTGGATTTGGCTATACGACACCACTAACGCATATGAATAATTGTGTTTTATGATACAAAGGTCTCGTCGGTAGCCTTGACGCCAAATTCAACATTCACCTTGGCGCGCACCTGATCCTGACAAAATTTGCAAAGACTGTGGGCACAACTCAGCCTGATAGTACGTATTCGTATCGCTGCATTGCGAGGGAAGATCTGACGCGCAAAAACGCACAGATTCTCGTCTCACGTCACACAATAGTCATTGCTGGGGGATGGCACAATAGTGTATACCCGACACACGCAGCCCCAGAAAATACCCTTCTACGTCCCCACACCCTAATGAAAACCTGGCCAGCGAGAGTTTCCTGCGGGAGGATTGGAATCCGGGGATCGTCGGTCCCAACAAAACGTCCTAACCCATACGGGCACCGGCCGCCAGCACCATCCACCCACCTGGTGCACATCTGGAGCACTTTCCACCCACCTGGAGCACATCTGGAAGCCGTCGTTGGCGTGCGAGATGCGCCAGCCGACGGTGCCGGTTCGGTTCAGGGCGGCCGCCCAGCCGGCTGCCGAGCCGCACTCCGACTCCACGTCCGCGTCCACGTCCTCGAACGGCGCCTCGGCCCTGGCGGTACACAGGGTCACGTGAGTGGTGTCTCGACCCTGGCGGTACACGGGGTCACGTGAGCGGTGTCTCGGCCCTGGCGGTACACAGGATCACGTGAGTGGTGTCTCGACCCTGGCGGTACACGGGGTCACGTGAGCGGTGTCTCGGCCCTGGCGGTACACGGGGTCACGTGAGCAGTGCCTGGCGGCACACGGGTCAAGTGATCAGTGTCTCGACCCTGGCGGTACACGGGGTCACGTGAGCAGTGCCTGGGGGTACACAGGATTACGTGATCAGTGTCTCGAGCCTGGCGGCACACAGGGTCACGTGATCGGTGTCTCGACCCTGCCGGTACACGGGATCCAAATGGCGATGTTCCTGCCGAAAGCGGTATACAAGTTTTAGGAACGTCAAACCAGAGCAGGCACGTGACGGGGACCTGTAAGTGCAGACATGCGGCACTTTCCAGAACCATGTCCCTGCCGCACCACGACACGACCACAACGTCCACGCGGAGACAGTGGCAAGTGCTGATTGTTCCACAACGTACTAAACGTTCAGTCATTTCTTAATTAGCATGCAAAATGAATGCTAATTTGGATGGTGGCTGACTCCCTTGTGCCAAACAAATACAGGCCAGGTACCTTATATCTATCTATCTTATATCTCTATATTATATCTTATATCTATGCCGGTCACGATATCCTGTTGAGACGATTCACACAGTATCAAGCAAAGCGTGTGCCTGTGATCTGCGGCGGCATGTCAGACGTCTACGCATCATTGTGCCTACTTATAGTCAAAGGCGAAGATGAGGTGCGGCTGGAGCGGGTAGCAGTAGAGCAGCAGGGCGTTGGTGATCGCTCGGTCCTCGTCTAGCCGCGAGCACTTGAAGCTGAAGGTCACCACCCGGAAATCCTGCCAACGGAGGAGACGATGCCGGCATTGAAACCCACGTGGCCGGGGCGTGCAGCACGGATATCAGCGGGCGCGGCACCGGCCATCCCATACCCCGCAGGTAGCCTGACCCACGCGGGCCGGGGCGCGCAGCACGGACATCAGCGGCGCGGCGCCGGCCACCCCGACCCCTGCGGGTGCCCTGACCCACGGGACCGGGGCGTGCAGCACGGACATCAGCGGCGCGGCGCCGGCCACCCCGACCCCTGCGGGTGCCCTGACCCACGGGACCGGGGCGTGCAGCACGGACATCAGCGGCGCGGCACCGGTCACTCCGACCCCCGCAGGCCCTGACCCACGTGACCGGGGCGTGCAGCACGGACATCAGCGGCGCGGCCTCGGCCACCCAGAACCCCGCAGGTGCCCTGACCCACAGGACCGGGGCGTGCAGCACGGACATCAGCGGCGCGGCCTCGGCCACCCAAAACCCCGCAGGTGCCCTGACCACAGGACCGGGGCGTGCAGCACGGACATCAGCGACGCGGCACCGGCCACCCCGACCCCCGCAGGTGCCCTGACCCTGACCTTGCAGCGGATCTGCAGCGCCTTGATCCGGCCGGCCACGTTGGAGCGCGGCGCCAGCAGCTTCCTCTTGCCGTTCGACGACAGCTGGTAGATGCAGTCGACGTTCATCAGGCAGACGTCGTGCTTGCCGAGCAGCTTGTTTCGTCGCGGCTCCTCCGTCTGCCGGCGGGACAGAGACGTTGCCGTCGCTGGCGACAAATCGACCCGCCGAAGCAGCGCCCCGCTCACGCTCACGCCGGCATCAGACAGCGACTTGGTCAGTAACAACGAAGATGTGACATTTCCAAACGCCGGTTCGCAGCGTCTGCGGGTGGCTGGCGAGGTGCTAACCAGCAGCCACTGTCCTGACTGACGACAGACAGCCGCCATACCCGAGAGGAAGATGCTGGATCAATGATGCAGCGACAGTGCTCAACGACGAGCACTGTCTGGTCCCATTGGTATGGAATGTTCAACTGGCAACTGGTAACACAGTGAATGTGTCATGAGGGGCCATGGTGACAGTGGCAATGACATGGTGGCAATTCTCCAACACGCAACTATTCCTCCAACATGCTCTGCTAAAAGAAATAAGCTAATTTGGGCTAGATACGGCTACCTAAAATAGGCTACCAAAATTACCTAATAAAAGAAACACGGAAGGATATTCACTGCACATGAGCGACATTGTTTGGCTGATGGGTCCAGCTTGCACCCCATTAGCTTTGCTTCACAGCTGACATATCCTCGATCTCATAGCCCCCCAAGCCGTCAGCAAAGCTCGTATCCATCACAAAATTCCAAGCTTACTAGGCACGCCAAATTTCCTCCCATCACAACAATCCCCGATTAGGCCACCTTGAAAGGACATGCAGCGTTCACCGCTCTACCCAGTACAGGACCACGCCGTCAGCCGCATCTGGCCGACGAGCGGCAGCCCTGCGGTCGGCGGCGGTCCGGCCGGCGACCCTGCAGTCGGCGGCGGTCCGGCCGGCGACCGGCGCCCTTACCGGCCCTCCGCCGAGGCTGTGCAGTGTGACGAACGACAGCTTGAAGTTGGTGACGTGCAGCCGGCCGGAGAGGCCCTGACGCTGCTCCGACATGGGCAGGTAGAGCAGCACGCTGTCGGCCGCCGCCACCATCGTCTCGCCCAGCAGCAGCTGCGGCTCGAGCGACACCTGCTCCGCCGACGCCGACTGCCGACACAGACGAACACCGGTCAGCCGGCGGCGCCGACTGCTGACACAGACGAACACCGGTCAGCCGGCAGCGCCGACTGCTGACACAGACGAACAGTGGTCAGCCGGCGACGCCGACTGCTGTCACAGACGAACACTGGTCAGCCGGCGGCACCGACTGCTGACACAGACGGGTGCTGTGTCAGGCCTCCCCCTCCCCCAAAGACACACAGACACATGCCTGGAGATGGATTACGGCTGAACATTCCCGAGTTTGTATTGTTATCTATTGTATTCAGCTTTAGTCCTCGCTATCAGCGTCGCTCTGCTTTATCATCAAGTTTATGTCGAAGGTAGTCATACCTGGCTTTTTCTTGGGACTTAACGGCCACTTTTCACTCCAATAATAGGCCTTCCCTACATATAGGAGGCTTTCCACTAATCGAAGAAATCTATGCTGCATCTGTCCACGGATCAGTTTTGAATCTCTCACACCGACACCAGTGTGGAATTCGCACGTGAAATACAGGCATTGTCCAAGACCGTTCATTCTTTTCCACAGGCCCTCTGGCATTCAAGAGGAGCCAGAGGGTCAGCAGGAGTCAATACGATGGGGAACGCTGGCCAGGAAAAGACGGCATCAGCGTCTGTGCCATTTTCAAGGACAGTAGCCTTGAATTGTGCAATGCACGCACTCATCGATCAGCATGCGAAGTGCAGAACGATGAATAGACAACAGACCATACACTTACATACACAAGTTTATGAAATGAAAGAGGCACTGGAAACAAATTTCAAAATTAAAATTAAAGTCAATTGAGTTAGTTCTGTAACTCAATTGACTTTAACCTTCATTGTCGCCTTTAGCGATTTCACAGAATAACTTTTGCTCAATAAACCTTCCCAGGTAACGGATTACCTTCATAATTAACTCGACATTGAACTAACTTCGCCAACCCCTTCAGGGGGGGGGGGGGGGGGGGGGGGCACTCCCAATGGGGTGCAAGGGCCCATCCACCACATATGAGACTATAAATGATGTTCCATTTGGTAAACTCTGACCAAGCCGTTCATCTCTGTCTAGAAAAATATGCAATATGCGACATATCGTGAGTGTTGCACTTGACATGAGCCTTTTTGAGGGCTCAACTAAAATGTAAACCAGACCGTGAAAAAGTGCAGGCAGTGAGGCATGCTGTCATACTGACCACACCCCACATCAACGAACACTGGCTGGAATTCCTCGCACAGTGCCTAAATGGCTAGTCACCTCACCTTTACAAATTTCTGACACTTGCTCCCCAAGATTAATTACATGCATCTGCAATGCACTCAAAAGCATTAAGACACGACTAACATCATACCAAACCACAGAGCACAGTCTGTCAGAATCATGTTTCCGATCCAAATCGAACACTGCGGAGTACATAAGCCTTTCTAATCGATTACATCATATCACGTGACGTGTAGAGTTACAACTACTTGACATTCGAGCTGTCATTACAAAAGGTGCCCACCTGTGGAAACTTATAATGCTGACAATAAAAATAAAAGGACAACATTGGGATGATGTATTCATAAATCATGAGGGCGATGACCTGCCTTACTCATTGAAGCACAACACACTTCACTACACTCAGCTGTAGCAGTAGCATGAGAGGGCTTACCCCATTGCCTATGTTGTCATCCAACTCCAAATAGCTTTGGAAGTTTTTTGCAGACCGAGATTTCGCCATTTTTGATTTGGAGTATTGTAGGAATACTGCTGTCATTCAACTGAAATAGAGAAGATATGTCTTAGCAAGCTGAAACATCCGACTCCGGATCTCGTTTCAACTCCGGGAAACGCCAGGTCACCGGTAGCACGACCACGCACGTGACCCCGCGTGTGACCCCGCGCACAGCCGGCGATCACGACCTGGTCACCGCTGAGGTGCCTGCGATCCCGGCAGCCTCTGAGCCGGGACACTCCCCCAGCAGATCTGCTGATGGCGCACAGGCCACCCACGTAGGACGCAGAAGCTGACGAGGCGGGCGGGCTGGTTTCGACATAGATCAACATCATCGCTCGCCACACGCTGGCAGTGCAGACCTGGACACAGACGACACTGAGCTGGGGGACCTGGCTTCGACCTAAAGATGTTGAGAGGAGGAGAGAAGCCCAGGGTGCGGTGGGGTGGAGCGGTGCGTCACGTGCCGAACGAGAGCACGAGACGACAAGCGGGGGCGCCCTCCGAGTCGCCACGAACGTAGTGAAGAGTACCGCCGGCTGCGCGCCCGGCCGTCCGTCTGCCCGCCCTCACGTTGTCATTACAGGCAAACGACGCGGCAAGACACAGGCCGCTCCACAAAGAGATCACGAAGTGGTGCGACACGCCTCACAATGCCTGCTGAAGAGGGCGTGAGGTGGGAGGGGGAGGGGAGGGAAAGCGGCCCGCCGAGAACCTCACCCCGCTCGGCGCGACCGTGGCGGCCGGAGTTCATTTCCGCGTGTAGCTTGCGATTAAAATCCACCGGACGCACGAAGGCCGGGTCGCCAGCGGGACTCTTCGCGGGGCATCCGCGATGCTGGCGGAGCTCTCACGTGATCTGCAGCCAACATAGCCTCCGCGAGCGTGCGGCAGATCACTATGCGGGTGTTGCGTCTCACCTTCCCTTGACATCGAGCTTCGCATAGTGCATATTGTCAGTGTTCTACATCTGTACAGGGTCTTGAACTGAGATAGCCATTCGGAGGGTCAGTGAATGCGATCAAATGCCATGCCCTTCTTAAGACATTAAACCGTCTTCTTTCTGAGCTTTGCGCAGTCAAACGCCGTGCAGACCATTTCGCGCAGCCTATCTGAAGGTCAACCAGGCATGCGTGATGTCATGGCAACGCCACGCGGACACCGCCACCTCAATGGCCATGTGGCGCCCCAGGTCAAGAAAAACATGATCATCGAGCTATTCGTGTCTGGCGTACGTCAGCACGGTTTGTAGTAGCAATGGACAATAGTTGGCTTTCAACCAGATTAATGCGTTGAGCGCAAGTTTCGTACACCAATCACGGCTTGTGCTACATAATACAGGACATAGACCCTCCCACTTCTCGGAAAGTTGAAGAAGTACAAGGTAGTCAGTCTGTTAGCTACGGTGGCAATTCTGACACGGCACGTCTGATAGCGACTCTTGACGTCATACAGATGTTTCATGACGCAATCAAACGATTATGCGCTATGGAACATGTTTACGTAACCGCGAAATATTGGTGTTTAGAACAATTAAATGAAAATGAATAGTTCACATGAGCTTATTTCATCCTATCTGGTGATCGTGAGAGGCACGCTCCTAAAGGTGTGTAGTTTAGCTGGTCTGAGGATAAGATGTAAACTGGGAAGCACGTCGAAGTGAAATGCTCTGGGCACATGCCTCGCTCTAGTCGATGACTCAGAAGCCTCGCGCAGGCGTTTTGAATAAGTAACTGATCTGATGAGGAGTCAGAGTTTCACCACGTTGGCACATTGCCACAGAGCACGAGTATGGCTTCAGGCCCGGCCACTCCGCGACAAGGGCGCTGCTCAACACTGTCAGATGCCTACAGGTCGATACAGGCAGAATGTGACAAGTCCGCACCGCTGTCTCGCTTGCGACATTTGATATCACGAAGCTGTGCCAGTTCCGGGGAAGTTCTGCTGACGCGGGGTCGATTAGCACTGGCTCGACGGACGCCACGCCACACACAATGCGATGGTCGCTGGTTCATTTCCGACCGGTCAGTCATACACGGGGCTCTTGGAAACCGCTCTGACCCAAGCTCAGCCTCGGTGTACACAAACAAAACAAGGCAGTGAAACAGACAGCAGGGCAGGCATAAAACATGACATCCCACGAAAACTGACACTGTGGCCTCTTACAGGCTACAGTATACAGCAGGATCAAAATCGGAGTTGGTCTCGGAAGCAGTTATTCAAGGTACCCTTTCTGGCTCGTCAATCACTGGCATTGGCTCAGAACAATGCTCGTCATGAACAGGGCAGATGACAGAGACAGAGCACATCTTGGACACGTTGCATGGCTTCCACGCGTCATATAGGCAAAAAGGGCCTGAAACACCCCGCTTTATGACATTATTGGGTTCTCATGTCGGGAATTAACGAACTTCAACATACCAAGAGGTACTAGTTAAACGAACATGTCAGCAATCATTAGGACATGAGAAACTTCCATACTGCAAGGCACGTGAGATAGTGAGCGTCGCGCACATGTCCGCTGCCGAAAAGTGTCGAGTATTTTCATAAAATACCCTAGCAATCGTTCATGTCTTCCTATAGCCAGCATTCATTGGCATCTTAAATGTTAGTTAATCTCAGTATGACGACTGGCACACGGGACGTTACGTCGCAGCTGCCGGCCACTGTCTGTGTTGCTCACCTACGTCCGGTGCACGGCACTGGTCCCGCGGCTGCGGCGATGGCTGGCAGGCGGGGCTCGGGCTCTTCCTCAGGTCGAGCGTGCTCGGGCCGGCCGTCCTCAGGCGTCCTCCACCGCCGGCCGTCCTCCGGTCGGGCGCGCGGCCGAGCGGGCGGGGGGCCGCTGGCCGGCACACTGGTGGCAGAGCACCAACATCGGTCATGCCTGGCTGGTGGTCCGCCTGCACTGCACAGGTTTCCCAGCAGTGACTTTGATGGCACGCGGCCTTCCGGGCGGTGCCCTGAAAAACTGCAACGCGGACCGGGCTGGTTTTAACCGCACGGTCTCGCGCATAGTACTCGTGCACATCGTATGGATTCCGAAGCCGCTGCCTCCGACCGCACACTGCACGGCCTCTCCCGACAGCAAAGGCCATTTGATACTGTCAGTAACTGTAACCTACTGTGTACATCCAGAACAGTGAGTTATCCACAGTCTTCCGCAAAGAAGACCTGGGCGGATGCTAGAGAGTGCGAAGGGAGGTGTAACACTTTTCTATAGTGAGTGACTTGACTACGTTTGTGTACTCCACTAAGCATGTCTTATGGAACAGCACCACCACTTAGGTTCATTACAAATCAGTGTGCTTTAGTTGTTCTCAAGATGTGCACCTTTACCAAAAAAGTGGATACAGATTAACATGGAATTGTTCATTACAGCTAGAACTTGCCTATTCACTTATCAAATTACCACTAATATGCACATTACAGCACTGTCCTTGATTCTCCAATAATATGCCCATAGCAGCTGCTCTATAAACATTGAGTTTAAACTCCTCTTCCTAGACTGTCTGTAGCCTGTCATAGAGGACTGAATTAATGTCTTACATTAGGGCATTCAATGACTGAGAGGCCAGTGCCAGATTTTGGTGAGAATCATTCACCAAATTTCCTCTCCGTTATGGTCACTGAGCCTGGGATATCATGGACAGCACATTCTTTATTGGGCTACCTTTGGGTTCCCTCTCTGTACCATACACAAGGACAATAAGTAACATGCATAGAGTACAATATTCTGGATCTGGCATTGAACTAATGAAAATCTGCCAAAAAACACATTTTGTCTTTGAGACATGTTCACACCATGGCAAGGTAGCCTAGAACTTTGTGTCTCAGTATGAAATGAGACACAAAAATGCAATTAGTTTTCATTTCAGAATATTTTCTCTCTTAAAGGACTTAACCCTACGGTATTATGGATACAGGATATAACCTTTCCTTGCAGATAACATATGTCAAGGCAATGGATGAAAGCATCAAAGGAGCAAGACCCAAATCTATTTGTCAGCAACTCTCATCCTGACATGTTATTGGTACACACAGCATGTATTGAGCATTAAAATATCAGCCATAGTTTTCCATACCTTTCAGTATAAACCACTAAACAAAAAATCTTACAAACACAATCTTGTATTACATTACCCAGCAATAAGCTGTTTTGAGCCCTACCAAACAACTTTGTGAACATGACATGACAAAAAATAATAAAAAGACAATGTAGTGTAATGATAAGCTTAACACTTACCAATACAGAAAAATAAGGTACTGTTATCCAGCCCTGATGTTGAAAATCTTCCATATCAAGCCAAATCTATTGCATTGATACCTAATCATGTTCAAAATTTTATAAAAAACAAAAATAAGGGATGGTGCAAGATCCTGTTGTAGACCACTTTGTCATTGCATAAACATAAACCTCAGATGACAAAATGTGCTCTATTATCATAAAAAATAGGCAGGTTTCTAATATAATTTCCTAACCTCAATCATATTTTGTTGCCCCATGCTTTCACACTAACCACATTACCAAGTGCCAACATGGTTCACACTGAGAACAGCATTGCAACAGCATATTGTGCAAGAATATGGAGGTTTAAAATCATGGCAATAAAGAAACAGGAAATTAAATCCACCTGGAAAATAGTATAAAGTTCAATGAATTTACCTCCCAAGTGGCACCAAACTATTGACCAGCTGCCAATGTAGTTCATACTGAGGACAGCTTGGCTGCAGCATGTTGTTCAAGAGTATGGAGGCTTTAAGTCACAGGAATAAAGACAGAAAATTAAATCCACCTTTAAAATCATGTTAAATTCACAGAATTTATCTCTCAAGAAGCACCAAGACTAATGACCAGATGTATCATAATGAGACATTGTTCATATAAAGAACATCACCAACAATGGGGCCTTGTTGACTCTGATGATGCACACCATGTCTGTATACATAACAATGGAATATTTCCCTATAAATGCAGTGACTGCATGTACTGCTGGTGTGAGCCTCATACTCAGTAAAGCAATCTGTATCAGTTAAGCAAAGCAAGCAAACCACATTGCTAGCAGTGACACAGTAATAGACCATATTGCTATCAGTAAATGTACCAGACATTTATGACTGTACATAAAACCTTCATAGCAATATTGTATGGTTTGCTTGCTAGGCTTAGCTGACAAAGCCCATTTATTAAGTGAAGCCTATACAGACATTATTGTTGCCATCCCCACACAACAGCTCAAGGAAATTTGACAATGTAGCACATGTTACATGCACAGCAGACATAAGCCCTGGACCGAGAGTTCATAGACAGCCAGTAGTGTTTTCCACTATTAACTGCACATTTCAACCACCGATGCGGTTAACCCTAATTTAGTCCAAGCCCAGCCCACGTTTTGACTAAATGTCAAGAGCAGTACTTTCTTTCCTGTCAGATACCTCAACAGATGATTGATGCTTTATGTTGGTCTTCAGACAAGATCACATATAACTGCTTGTCTCCATTTGCAGCATGGATAATTTGACCGCGCTGGCCCAAATGGATCAGCAGTGAACCCACCTCCCCGCCCATACACATCACGCGCGGGTGTGCGTAATATTGCCCTACGCAAAATTGCATTTCAAGTCACTGGTGCGCCGCTATAAAAACAATAAAGGTAGCATATATAGTGCTGGATACTAGGTACTGGCCTAAAGGCTTTCTCAAGACGCGAGGCCGAAAAGGCAAGATTTCTCGAGCAGATAAACAGAAATTAAATTAATACGTTCTCAAAATGATGCAATAGTAGCTGCTAACTCATCGGAAAATTTGAATTGTCCTAAAAGAAGCTTTGCTTAAATTAAAACAGACTTTATCCACCTCTCTGGATATGTAGACATTTATGACGCGAAGGAGTCAACACTTAGCATAAGCGTTGGATGGCCTAGAACATAATACCGTTCCCGCGGTAGCATTCGTTACATAATATGCGGTAGGCGTGCATGTCTCGCGGTATTTCATTGGTAAAAAGTGTGGTATTTCGAGACGTGCCCGGTTTACGAGGCTCTGTACGTTCCAGGGATTGCCTCAGCAGTTGGTTCGGTAAGGGTAAAGTTAAATAAGTAGACAGCCAGCTCTGCCTGTTATTATGAGGGGCCATTCTGTTACAGACGGGGCTTTTTTACTTCGGTACTTGTACGGTCGACGGAGGGAATCAGCGTAGTAGTGGAACCAAAGTAAAAAGTGTCACAGACAGTTGGCCGCCCAGAAGACGGGTATTTCTAGCAGTCAGAGGCGATTCATATATATTTATGTACGTTTATGCAAATATGCTGTTTTGAGTTAACCCTGTTCATGTTACCAGAAGCATGCTCTCGAAGATGCCTAAAATATGCTGAATGAAATGTGTTTGATGCTGGCTTGGCATGCTGGTTCAAACTCAGATCCAAGGAGGTTGATTTTGCCCGGTCTGACTCCTGGCAGTCATAATTCTGATTGTGCATGATACCAAGCCAGCAAGCTATATACAAGATGCAATGTTTATAGCTGTTCACAAAGTGCTGAAGTACCTAGATGTCTGGTCACTGTTTACATTGGTACCTTGGCATCCAGTATTTAATTTCTCACCAGTGGATATTTTGAAGACATCAGATGCCATAAGTAATCATAAAACAGGAATATTTAAATGACATGTTGTCATGTTACCTTCAAAATATAAGTACTTTAAATGTGGGAAATGTTGGTCTCTCACACCAAAAGCAGGATACTGATGTATCAAGGCCATCCAGATTGCTCAACCAGTGATTGCTTTTCATCATGTTTTTTATGAACTGTCTGTTGATGTACTGAGATTTTGATGCACTGTTGATTGGCCAGCATGGACCTTTCTTGTCCTAATGACCCAGCATTCCTTTTTGTTCTTCTTTCCCTTTACCCTTGTCCCTTCTTGTCCCTTCTTGTCCCCTCCCTCAACAGAAATGGAAATTTTCAGGATTTCTGCATGATTTGTCATTTAATGGCATTTTGTTCTCAACTGCAAACCTTGCTCTGTAGGTAAGATGGCCAAAGATGATGTAAGCAAAAAACAAACCACCAAGAGAAAATCAAAGGCTGAATCAGACAGTGTGCCAGCTTCAAAAAGTAGTAAGAAATCTGCTAGTGCAGTGGCTACCGTGCCAAGAAGAAAAGATGGGACTCTTGAATTCAGTGATTACCCACGATTCCGACCAAACCGAACTCCAAAAGAAGTACTCCAGGCTGGAAGTTTTGGTGGAACTTACTTCCGGCCAATAAAATCCAGCATTACAGGTGATATAACATGAGTGAAATAAGCTCAATTGAATCAGTTAACATTTCTTGCCTTTGTGATACTGGGCTGCCAGCTGTGAATGCCTGCAAAGTATTGTGTGCACTTGTCAACGCAAGCATGCAAGGTTAGGGTGTATAGTAAGATATGTTTTACTAAGTTAACATCCATGCTGCCCTTTATGGCAGTTCAGGCAATGTTGGGTCATTAAAGTTGATCCAAGCCTTCTTCCTGACACTTTTCCGCTATGATGCAGAAAATATAGCATCTGTCTTTACCACTCACGTGCGTGCGCATATTCCGCAGGCGAGTCATACAAGGACGTGTGGAAGGAACTGCCAGAGGACTGGCTGGAGGGACTCAGTATTAAGCGGCAGGTGGCGTCCAGCATCTACGACGAGAATGTTAACCGCTACGGCAAGAAGTGCGGCGGAAGCCTGGAGATGTGGGAGGAGTCGGGCTGGATCGTGGCCCAGGACCCGTATGGCTGGTTCCAGTGGTACTGCAGGTCGGTGCTCGGAGGGCAGCTGCGGTCGCAGTGGTGTGCAGGCATTGCTTGTGCTCAGTTAAGGCGACTCTTTTCGGCGTTCGTCGACCTTTACATTTCTCATGATGCATTTCCTGTTTAGATGTGCACGCATTGCGTGACACCAACATGACTTGCTGTGCGCGATGTTTCAATGTATTAGCAGTTGAGACTCAAGCTCGTACATTGCTGCCGTCCGAAAGCAAAAAGGCCTAAGAGCCATTAGTTGACATAGCACTCATGCCTTTTTGCCATTGGACGGCAGATTGCATGCCGCTCCAAAAGCGCGGTACGCATGCATGCCCGGCGTAGCTACGCCGGACTAAACAGACGGCTCAGCTGCTCGCCTTTATGGCTGGATTCCAGACTCCGGTATGCGCGTGCGAACCTGACATGAATGGTGCTGATCGTGGCGCCATCTGTCAGCAAATGTTCATGCCTCCCAGTGTTGCTCTGGCCACTCACCAGGCCATGACATTGGCCAACCCCCATCGATGCTTCTCTGATAGTGCCCTGAGGATGAATGGATCCGAAAGGATCCTGAGTCCCTTTCGGTTTCGCATTCATCACTTCATGAAATTGCATTTCGAGTTGCATGTGGCCCGTGGGTGGTCCGCCTTCTCCCAGTTGGCCAGGGCAGACACGCGCCGGTGCAGAGGTGTCCTGTAACTGAGGGTGTGCCATTAACCCGGGTGGACGGGCGCTCCGCAGATTCTACCAGGGCCGGAGGACAGCTGATGACGAGAGACAGATCGGCAGGTGGGACCGCTGCACCGGCGAGAAAGGTCGCTGGAAAAACAACCTGATCACCAAGGTAAGCGGGTTCAGGATAACGCTCGGTGCTTCTGAGCGCTCAAACCTGGCGCGTCGTCCGAACCTGTCACGCAGTGGCTTGTGGTCCGGCCATGCGGGCAGGGATGCCAGTGACTGGGGACGGAGGTGAGTCTTACCCATGTTGCCGCCGTGCTTTGGCTGTTCGTATACGCTATCCGTACTTCTTGCGGAAGTGTGCACGTTTCTACGGTGCTGGAGGCTCACACTTGCCTGCTACTGGTGGTTTCGTTGCATGGGAGGTTGTGGCGAGCAGCGTTTATGTCGCGGGCCGCATGTGATGGTGGTATGTGGCGGGCGATGACGGTATATGATAGCCTAGACCAGATGTTGTCGCGGTACAGTGTCAGTATGTGGTCAACGGCCGGAGCTGCATCGTATCTACTATCACGGATATGATATTTGTGTATATTTTTTTGTTGAAGATATTGTACCCGGCTCCCTGCTGGGAAGGGAGGAAAATGATACATTGGGCAATGAGGGCAACCCCCCCCCCCCCCGCCCCCAACATGTGACAAGTCTTCAAGAACTCGCCAAAACCTACTAAAACCTGTGTCTTGGGGTGAGGTCGAATTCGGTGCACGCCTACCCTCCCTCTTCAGCCTACTGTATTTTACACGGGCCCTCGTCTGATCGACAGGTGGTGCGCAGCGGCAGCAAGTTCGACAGCAGGGCCGTCTCGCCGGTGGTGCGGCAGACGCTGCTGCACTGGGGGTACGAGCTGACCGAGGAGGACTTCGCGCGGGGCGCCAAGCGGGTCAAGACGTGACCGCCCGATGGCTGGGTCCAGTGACCAGCGGCTGCGCCTCCTGCGGCAGCGCTCGAGACGAGCCACACTCAAACGTCCTCAGGATCATCGTAGACATCGCCGTCACATCGCTGTCCTCTGATGTATTGGCACAGACGTGGAATTGCGTCCAGTTCTGGGAGCTGTGTCTGCCAGTATTAGACAGTGACGGCCGCCGCTGTCAGGATCGATGAAGATCTGACACTCGTGGTAGCGCTGGTCCTCGCTTCAGGTGCACGCCGTTGTGTTCTCGGCACTGTTTGTGGGTGCCCATGTCCCCGATCATTGTCATTTGTGTCGGGTTCTCAGCGTGCCGACTGATGCCCATTCTTCGCCAGAGTGGTTTGCGATCGCGTAAACCCTTGGTTACACGGGTCATTGATGGTGTTTTATCATTGATGGATGATTGCCCATGCAGCTTGTTGAATTTCTAATGCTGTTCAGATAATGATGTGCTCAGCATTTAGAGGGACCGTGGTGTGGCCGGCAAACTTCACTGATATCAGTTCCATGATAATGCCACTTTTTCACCTCACATTTTGGCAACCTGATCCATAGACAAGAAGAAGAACAAGAACTCGCTAGCTGATGTGAGAACTTTTGTAATAAAAGTGTACAACTGAGTGCAGCAGCAATCTGCCACGGGGGAACGACTGGACCCGGCATTCGCCATCCAGACGACGGACCATGTAACCGTTGATGCATATACATTGCCTGTGTTGTAAATTATGTGCTGACTACTGCCGGCACTGACTATGCGGCTTAGTGGACGTGATCTCTGCAACAGCCTTAGTTTTGCATGGCCTCATAACAAGCATAAACACAGCCTCTTGACCATGACGCCACGTGAAAATGCTCTTTCTCGGTAGCTTTCTTCGGCGCCTCACTGTCGAAAGCATTTTCTCCGTTCCTGTGACTGTATTCATAACGTCTGCGAACATTCATGCTAGCCCCGGACTGATGTGCCCGATCCTGGGTGTCGCCTCTACGCGTGTACACCCTGAACTGATATAGGGCCACGCATGGTAACCAGTGCTCCCTCCCGTCCCCCGCGCAGCGCACAGCTGCTCGACTACCAAATCACGGGAATTGCACGCCCCTGACCAGGGCGACATCTGGCGCCAACGGCGGTCCGGCGCACTCAGCACATGAACGAAAACAACACAACACACAAGCCGGCGGCCGTCCCGGGCCAAGCACAGGCCCGCCTGCGGCACCCCCCGCCCTCGCCACCCCCGGAGCGCGACCGCCTCCGCGCGTCTCGCAGCCGGCCGGGGTCACTACAGCTGCGGACGGCGGAGGCGTCGCCCCCGGCGTGTGATGGCAGTGCTACAGTGGCCGGGCGCTCAGGCGTCGGCCGGCCAGCGCCAGGTGTTGTTCAGAGGGCTGGAGTAGCCGACGTCGTACCGCTGGCTCCGGACGAAGGCCTCCTTGTCCGTCGGCTCGGGGTACGCGGACGCTTCACCTGCAGGGTCGCAGGGGTCAGGGGTCAGCAGGTCAGCATGGGCTCCGCCCGTCACGTCGGAGGCTGGGCGGACGTGAGACGCCAGTGTCGAGGAGCCGCGCTCTGGCGTGCATCGCAGAGGCTCTCACGGTCAGGTCACGGGACGATGCGACAGAAAGAGTCGGCGCGTGGTTGAAAATACAGGCGTGCACTAGAGGCATGCTTCGGGGGACCCGTCTCAGGGTGTTCTTCGACCCGTCTCCACGCGGGCTTCCCTGCATCCTCGGAATACCAACGGGGGCCTCAACTTACGGCCCGCTTGGGTGGCAGAAGACTTGGAACTGGAAGGCGAGAAACACATACGGAACGTTGGAACGCCAACAAGCTGGCATGCGCCACTGGCAAGCCTGCGGTATCTGGTGCGACCGGCGTGCCAGTGGTTGGGCTGTTCAGGCAGCAGGACGGTACTACTGACATCCGTGCCAGGCATAACCGCTTTAATTGAAACGCGGCGGGTTTATTCCCATGCGTTCGACAGCGATGGAGCGCATCAGCGTGTTGAAAAATATCGTCAGGATAGCATCAAAGCACAGCGATGAACGGGAAATGGAAAAAAAATTCACACTGGTAATCTCACATCCCACGAAACACATAATAAGTTAAACATCCTTCGCACCACGCAGCACTGCCACGAAGAGGTTACTTCAAACTCAGACACCCACGCACCCTCAGTCTTTGGCACAAGGACGGAGCTCCACGCGCTGTTGTGCGGCGCGCGAGCACGTAGAGGGAAAGGCTGCCACCACACAACGGTCACCACACCGACCTTACTGCAGCGCCGGCCACGGGTGGACGGGCTGTACCGACACACCGTAGTGGTAGTCATACAACTGGGAGCGGATAAACGTCTCGAGGTCGTCCGGCTGGGGATAAGTGGACGCTTTGCCTGCAACACGGACGGAGACGCTGCGCCATCGTGCGTCGGCGGCGCAAACTGAGCGCGCGGTCCGCAGGCGCTCCAAGCCAAGCCCAGTTGTCATTTGCATACGTCGGCACCGGAGTGGCGGCGTCGCGCAGAAGCGTTCAACTGTGAATGTGCCCAAAGCCAGAGCAAAGCAGCGTGTCCCAAGAAGCGTCTATGACCGGACTGTGTACGAAAACAGGCTGCGGCTAACAGGCTTCAGCCTTCATTCCGATACGGTTGACATTTTACAAAGCTGAGCACGTCACTTTCGAACCCCAAGCCGTTACCTTTGTTGGATGGTCATCGAGGTCGGCATCCATCAAATTATCGATAACCGCTTGCTCAAAAGCGGTGATTTGCACAGCTATATCGCGCTTCATCGATGCTGTGCGGCAGCTTCGAGAGATCATCCTGCCCTCCTCCCCCGTCCAGCCCCCACTGCCTGACGCTTCACTGGATGCCTGTCCAAGCCCCACCGGCGTCGCTGGCACTCACCTGTCCTGTAGGCGTGCTCGGCCAGCTGGACGGCAATCTGCAGCGAGACGTCCCGGATGGTGTTCAGCGGCGGGTACAGCCGGCCGGCATCCAGCTCCGCGTCCGACACCATCCTGGAGAGGGCCTGCGGCAGCGACGGTGGCCGTCGGTTCACTGCGCCAGCGCCGCCGACCAGACGTGCGGCATTCAGCGGTCATGTGATCAGCTGGATACTTGCGAATACAAAATATAACAATGATTCAAGTTAAAAGAATACATGCATCATGTGCTATATTGTCCTGCACACTGCGTCAATGTTCAGCCAGGCCGGTTATTGTCAAATGGGGCACATCTTCAGTTCACGGATGCGCGTGCGGAAAGCACGCTCATCATCCGTGTGCGTACATATGTCATTCTCCAGAACATTTTAAATGTACTCCAGGCCATGAAGCAAAATAACTTAACGGGTACCCCCACAACAAGCTTTTGCACGTCCCAATGCTGCGCTTGACAACAACGCCACATTGATAGCCCTTCCCGTGCTTAGCGCTCCCAGCTCTGGGCCGTCTGTGACTTCCGCGGCGCACAGAAGCCGTGGCCTCTCACCTCGGCGGCGCGCAGGAACACCTCCTCGCCGATGTGGTGCATGCCGGTGCAGAGGACGCCTAGCGCCACGCCCGGGAAGATGTAGGCGTTGTTGCCCTGACCCGGGTACAGCGTCTTGCCGCCGATCGTGACCGGGTCGAATGGAGAGCCCGAGGCGAACACCGCCCGACCCTGCCCGGCACCGACAAGGTCAGACCAACCCGCTGGTGACGTACTGTGAGAGTGCAGCGTTACCCTGACTGACAGACTCACCGAACGGTTCTCATACTCAAGACCTCGGTCTAAATGACCAAGCGTGGGATAGACTCGTTACGACTCGTCCAACGTGGACAGACGGAACCATCTTGAGTAGGACAAAAAGGCGGCGTCCACTACCCGTCTGTGTAATGGGCCTACGAAAGACGTTTGCCAGGAACGCGTTTGTCTCACGGCCTACACAAAACAAACCGACAATACGCCAACACGGCACCGCCCAGCCCAGCCTGGACCGGTGTCGGCAGCACAGGGCACACACGAGCCTGCAGGCGGCCAGTGAGCCAGCCGGCCCCTCAGCAGGCCGCGTGGCCCTCCTGGCGCTGCGGCTGGTATGGTTATGGATCGAGCTCGGCGCGCCGCCGAGCGTCTGACCTGCGTGGCCTCGTAGGCCTGCTGCGCCGTACACTCCGCCTTGCTGGTGGGGTTGCTCAGCGCGAAGATGATGGGCTCCTTGTTGAACTCGCCCATGTCCTTGAGAATCTCGGCGGTGAAAGCCTGGGGCTGCGCGGCCGCTCCTGCCGCACGGCGTGCCAGGTGACAGCACGATACAGCCGGCATCGCACACACATCACACCAGTGGGGCATGATCACGCACTCGCACGCGCACCGGCTGAGTTGCATTTGCTGTTTGAGTGCCTACGGAGTGCCCATGAAGGAATGTGATGCTAGGTCCCGCTTGATATCCAAGCTCTGCCTATACCCTCAAGGAAGCACGGTGATTCAGAATACTGGGCGATGCACCATAGCAAGCTCAGTGGCACATAATTCCCGTTTAAACCTTGTCTGACAAGCCCGAATAAACTTCTCGCATTGCGATTAGCAGGAAGGAGAGGGATGGCACTGCCGCAACATTGCTCCCATCATGTCCTGGGGTTCGGTTCCCCTAGGCTCGTGTCGTGAAGAAGAAGCTGAACATGCTAGAGCGCTCCTCACACCCACGTAAGCTCGGAGTTGACCGTCTGATAGACATAATCTCACCCTGGACACGTCACCCAGGTAACGTCACGAGACTAACCGATCAACGCCGACGGCTTCAGCTTCTTCACCACGTCGCCAAGGTTCTTCATGGGCGGCATGTCCTTGGCGAACTCCGCCTTGTGTCCGGTCACGCCTCCCTCGGGCCGGTTGTTGACGATCAGGCCGCGCGAGTCGACCAGGAAGATCTTGTCGTGGGCTTCGGCCGAGCTCAGGCCCTCCTGCTCCATCGCCATCACGCACAGGTTGGCGATACCCAGGGACGCCTGGCGGAGATTGGAAGAGTTATTCGAAACGCTGGAGACAGAGATGCGAGCGAGAGGGGAAGGGCGGGCAAATAATGCTCTTCTGAGTCTCCCCCCGGCCAATGTGTGAATAAGAAATACCGAACGAATTAAATGAAAAATTGAAATGCTGGTACATTAGGTACCTACCTGAAGACATTAGGCACCTTACATGTTTTTTGCTATTTCCATTCCTTTATATAATGGGTAAGAATGCAAGTTTTGGCAGGTTTTTCACGCAGTAACCCCCGGGTTGTACTAAAAAATACGCTGCAATATGCGGCAGCTTCAAGGTAAAATATGTACTGTTGCATTCACCCATTTGCACAATTTGTTACCTACAAATGGATGGTTTACAAATAGACAACGCGGTTGTTTTACATTTTCCTACTTCTTTGCGTACCTGATACTTTATTTAACTGGAGCGCACACATAATTTTACGATCGGAGGGGGGGGGGAGAGGGGAGGGAGACACAACTCTTCAAATGGAAACCAGTTCAAGCGTGTTGCAGGCCGAAACCTAACATGTTTCATCCTTGACATAAATAATACCAAAATAACTGAACGAGATCAGAGGAGAGATCAGGTTTGGGGGGAGGGTTAGGTCAATCCTACCGGCTAAGCCCCTAACCAATTTGAAAGGATGACACCGATGGGCCTGCTGATGTTGAGCTATGACGTGCTATAGTGAGCAGCGCTGTGGTGAAATCAGGTGGCCATCCGGAAGTTCTAATATATTTTTACCCGATGCCCGTGCTCCACGCTGGCTAGGGGAGTGACACGAGCCCGCACACCACCATCTTGGGTGCACCTAAGCCCCTTCGAGCACGATGCTTGCAGGATATTGCGGGCCTTATCTTTCGCTGGATAAATGACCTTACTGCAAACATTTGCCATGATAAGCATGCCGCCAAAAGGAGACATACCTCATGCTCCCTCTGGTATCTTACGAGTGGTTACGAGCACGCAGCCTAGACAGCGTGACTTTAACATGCTAGTCTGGACAAAGTGGCACACACAAAGTACAGTTCGCCTAAGCGATCAGCTGCTAGGATAGCATCACCTGAGACGGAGCAGTGGACTGACCTCGCCAGCTCCGAGGAAAAGGAATGTGTGGTCGGAGAGCCGCGAGTGCAGCTTCTTCATGGCAGCCAGCAGGCCGGCCACCGCCACCGACGCCGTGCCCTGGATGTCGTCGTTGAACGTGCAGTACTTGTTGCGGTACTTCTCCAAGAAGCGGAAGGCGTTCTGGTTGCCGAAATCCTCGAACTGATGGGCATACGTTGGTGTGATACTAGCTGTGACGATCTGTCGCAGCAGTATTGTAAGACAGCCACAACACACAAACTGTCAACAGCCATATGGCGTTATGCAAAACCTGAAGACCCATTGGCATGTCAGCCCGCAAATGAAAAACTTTATGATTACGACGTAACTCGTATTATTTAATATCGTCGGGTTTTCGGGAAAGGGACTGAGCATTTTAGTCCAAACATTCGGACGACGCCACCACGGTTAGATGGGAGGAAAACAGAACACTGCTTACGGCCTGTACCAGCCCCTCTCAGCCTGACCCAGGTCAGCGGTGCCGATCGGCGAGAGCACGGCCGCGGTGGGCGGGCGGGCTGACCTGAATCAGCGTGTTCTGGCCGTAGCGGCGCACCACCGCCTGCATGAACTCGTCGATGAACTCGTCGTACTCGGCGCCGCTGACCCGCTCCTGCTTCAGGCCGATGTAGAACTCGTCCTGCCGCAGCTCCTGCGGCGGGCGGCGCCACCCCGGTCAGGGCGGCGGCGCGGCAGCCGCAGCGGCGGGACATTTGGCTCGCTCTCGGTAATAGCTACAGGACTCGGGTGCGATCCTAGCTAATGGCTTGCTCACTGTTGCTTTGACACTTAGGAGCGTTGGGGCGCGGATTAGAGGCTTTCATGGGTACCATAACCTATCCCCTGTCCATCCACTACCCATGGGGCTGTGCCCATACCCACCCGCTACCGGTTGGTAATCAGTTGTACCCACCCGTTACCCATCCTGTTTTCGGAATGTTTACACCCAAACTTTCCTTTTGGCGTTGATGATTGCAGAAGTGGAGTGAATGGAGCTTGTTGTAACTAAAATAAACGCAACCAGTAGCATTGTGTGACATTTCTTGACATAGTCGCCCGGGATCTACTAAATGTTTTACCCATACCCGCACCCGCCGATTTTTTCACCGAACTCTATACCCAACGCGACCCGTTACCCGTTTCGTATGAGTAGCCATGGGTCTACCCAAGCCGTAAAGCCCTCTGGTGCAAATGAACTAGCATGCACATGAACTTCTCGCATGTATTACGCGCACACTTCGGCGAATCTCAGGTCCGATGCACTGTCTCGTATGACAGAAGTCCTCACCCTGACGTTAGCCATGATTCTTTGAAACGCCGCTATTTCTCCGTAGCATAAGCGCCTTCATTCATCATTGTCAAACCACAATCCAAAAACAACTTCGGCCATCACAGCAGCTTCGGTGATCACCCCACTCTTCCAGCTACTTCGGCCAACGTCAACCTCCCCTGCACGGCCACATTTACCTTGTTGTTGGTGCCGACGTCCAGCACGATAGGCAGGCACTGGTGCGGCTTGATGCCGGCCAGGGCCGTATAGAGCGACAGCTTGCCCACCGGGATGCCCATGCCCTGGGCGCCAAGGTCGCCCAGGCCCAGGATCCGCTCGCCGTCCGTCACCACGATCGCCCGCACGTCGTGCTCTGGCCTGCCGGGTCAACAGAGGTCAACGCTCCGGCCTGCCCGGTCGGCAGAGGTCAACGCTCCGGCCTGCCGAGTCAACAGGGGTCAATGCTTCGGACGTCCGGGTCAGAGAGGCCAACACGTCGGCCTGTCCGGCCAACAGAGCTCAATGCTCCAGCCTGCTGGGTCAGTAGGGGTCAACGCTCCAGTCTTGCTCGGTCAACAAAGGTCAAAAGCTCCGTCCAATCTGGCCATATAGGTCAGCGGGGGTATCATATAGCAGACCTGATCACATAGGTCTGAACCTGCTCATCGATCGCGAAGTTTAAAATAACCCGACGCCCTTATGGAGCAGACGCATCAGCTATCGGTTCTGGACCAAACGGCCCACGTAGCACGCGGGCACGTCACGAAGCTAACATATCCGTCATATCCGTCACACCCGTCATTTTATCCGGACCAGTCCGTGGAACACAAACGTACATCACGGAACGGACATATCCAACGGCATCACCCCAGCTAACCCACGCGGGTACACGCCCACATCAATCAGCGGGCGCATCAGATAGGATACGGACGTCTCATCTAGACTACGCAGCCGGCGTCAGACGCACGGACAGGAACATCCCCCGCCGCTGTCACCACTGCACTGACCAGTTCTTGAGCACGTCATAGATGTGACCCTTGTCGTGGATGGTGATGAAGAGGCCCCTCGGTCGCCGGTAGATGAGACCGAACTTTTGGCAGGCCAGGCCCACGGTCGGGGTGTACACCAGCGGCATCATCTGCTCCACGTTCTCCGACAGCACGCGGTAGAACAGGCGCTCGTTCCGGTCCTTCGGGCGGCAGGCGCGGGCGGGTTAAGTCATGAGCAGGTGGAGACGGCGTGAACGACAGGCGGGGACGATGGACGGCAGGCTGATGTAGTGTTCCCCGCGTTGTGAAATGCTGAGATCATGCGAAATGAGCTGAGGCGGCGGAACCGCGCTAACACCATGGGAAACACGCTGACGATAAGGAGGGAGGCTCACAAGGTGCCAACCAGACGAGAAAATGTCTCGCTGGCTGCTCAAAGGTATACCTTCCTTTCAGGCGCCCACGTTATTGTTTCATGAAATTTACAGAAATTTCAGACTGCGGAACCTGTTCAGCGCTCATCGTGAAAGTGAAGCACTCAGAAACAGTAATAATATTGACAAAGGAAACAATCCAAGCTTCTTCAAATGTCCCAGATTTGCGCCGCATCGTTATCCCACGAATCTCTGAGCTGTCCCATGTCACTCTTGCTGAAAGTTTACGTTCGCTCGATCGGGGAACACCATAATCCCCTGACGTCAGCACGTCATCACTACTTCGCCCCGTCCGGTGTCTGACACCAGGGCCGGGCGGCACACTCACCTGCAGCCCCATCAGGTAGATGAACTTGTTGAGGTCCTCCTGGTAGCGGGAGACGTTCTTGATGCAGAGGTCCACCTGCTCGTCCTGGGTCTTGAAGCGGGGAGGCAGCAGGCCGTGGATGCCGAGCCGCTGTCGCTCCTCCAGCGTGAACGCCATTCCCTGCACGGAGAGGACCGGCGGCGACGGGGTTAGGTACAGCCGAGGGCGGTCAATCAGCAATGGCTTCACTTGGCACTTAGGGGCTTCACTTGACCACAAAGGCTTCACTCGAAACATGGGGTTTTCACTGGACACCAGGGGGTTTCCCTTGATACCAGAATGTTTCACTTGACACCAAAGAGCTTCACTTGACGTCAGAGGGTTTCATTTAACACCAAGGGGTTTCGCATGGCACAAAGAGGCTTCATACATCGAGGCAAAGCTTTTCTGGAAATCATTATGACTTATGACAGTAGATGTATCCATGCGTGCTACCCCGTACCTGAGATTGGATGGAGAAAACAGGGTTGTGGGTCAAACTGAAATATGTAAGGGGCAGCTTGACCTAAAATTGGCGTTTTGAGTAGAAAACGGTTCAAAGTGATACGAGGGCAAATTTGCATGGTGCATCCCCCGTGGTTATACACATGGATGTAGAGGGAATATCCATGTTCCATGCCCTAACGACGAAAATGATTTATGTGATGCATATTAGGACATGCCTGTACTGATTATAAGACATATGAAACATGGGCATACCTTGGCAATGGATATTGAGCAAAAAGCCACAAATAAGCGAGTAAAATATCCTCAGTCATTTGTATCAATTGTTAAGTGTCAAGATTAGTCATTCGTCGCTTCACTTCGGTCCTCCACCCTTGCAATGTTGGCTGTTACCGTATCATATACAAGAGCCCTGTTCGATCTGTCGTCAGCACGATTGTCAGCTGAAATGTGTGACGTCATCTGTGCGGACTGAGCGCTCAATGTGAGGGCTAAGGGGAGAGTATTCAACTCTTCCTTCTTTTTCCCCTTTCCCTCCTAACTTGACCTGAGCCTGACGCACTAATTTAACATGACATATTTAAATGTGGTACTTCATGTGTCGATATGCACGCTCACTTTGTCTATTCTGGTAGCGCTTTTCCTCCATGCTGACGGGCTGACAAAAATCCTGGCACCAGCTTCAGCCGACGCGTGACGTTACAAACCACGTGACTTTGTTGTCACAGGACTTGACGTGGGGCGAATACTGAGCCATGGTTGGCCCTGACAAACGTACTGACGATTGATCGAACGTGACCAAGTACCGCACGCAAAACAGGGACCAACGCGTTGCAAAAACGGAATTCGCCGTCAGCCTCCTCCCTTCCGAGTGGTGATAACCGCGACCCATCTGTGACACGGCACACATCGTCCTTGGCATCGTGCCAGCTCACCTTGTTGAGGCGCGGCTCGCGCACGTTGTCAATGCCTCGCACCATGTTGGGGCAGACATTTTCGCCGGTGACCTCATGGTAGGGCCGACGGCCGGGCCGGTCCGTCACGTGACAAGAGAGACCGCCGGCCAGCACACGGCCACCGACGGCCGGCCTGAGGGCGGCGCGTGGGGTCAGCGATGGCCGAGGGCGACGGCGGCGAGGTCATCGACCGGAACCAGACTGGACCGGAGCGGGGCGGAGCGAGACAAAGTGCAGTGGAATGACTGGACAGGACTGGACAGGGCTGGACAGAACTAGATTGGACTGGCCTTGCCAGGTTTGTTCAGAACACGAATGGACTACAACTGACAAAACGGGAGGCGTCAAGACCGAAGCGGGTGGTCCGGAGCGAAATGGTTTTGAGTGAAACTATACAGAATGAACCGGACGGAACGAAGTGGACCGGACCACAGGGGGCCGGGCCAGACCGGACCGAACCACACCGGACCAGACTAGACGTACCGTGCAAGATTTGGTCGAGCAGACAGAGCCAGATAGGACCAGGAAATATAGAGCAAGACATGGTTGGTTTGGGGACAAAAGTGACCAAGCTAGATCAGACTAGACCGGACCAAACTGGAATAAAGTGGACCGGATCTGAAGGGAGAGGACCGAAATGGGCCGAACATAGCGGGATCGGATCGGATCTGATGGAACCAGACCAAGACAGTGATTGAGGTAGGGCTGTCAACATAAATCGGACCTGCCGAAAAGCTCTTTATTTTGACATTTATAATGTTGCAGGATTTACTTTCAAGTTTTCTTTTCTTCTCAAATATGCACTCTTTTCGACGTCATAATCCACTAAGTCTTGACCTGAACACAGGTCCTGGAGGTGACAAAAACTGAATATGTGATAGTGTTGTTTTCCAAGATGGCAGCGTTTTAGCCCATACTTCACGGCTTAAAGCAGCGTGAATATTGATAGTAGCAACTGGCACCTCCAGCGTTGGGGAGTGGTTGGCGTTAAGAAGTAATTCAATGGAAGCATAATTTTCTGCCTGTTCCCTGGAAAAACCAACCTGTCTTGGAGCGGTCAAACCCCCTTCGTGTTTTGATGCGACGAGCAAGCAACGAAGCAGAGATGCCATTCTGAGAATGTTAAGATCCCAAGGTGGAAAGCCACATTTTGCGTTCATAGATCACGCGGAAGAAAGAACTTTCGTTGTAATTAAAGTCGAGTAAACTGTCTGCAGATAAAAACAGCATCCATGGAGGCTCGGGTCTAGACTCGGGAATTTGATAGTCGATTCGTCGCCATGTCCTAACGCAGCACGACACTGAAATGTTGAGCCTTCAGTACAGCAGTTGGCTAAGTATTTGAACATAGCTTCCAAAGATTAGGGGTTCAAGTCCCTGATGAGGTTGTCATTTTCAGTGCCCGCCAGATGAACAATATCATCTGTCTCCAAAGCGGTCACACAATGAGATCATTGACAGTCGGAACATGGAGAGAAAGAAACAGCGCACAATAACAGTATCTTATGATGGTCACCACCGTGAGCTTCTTCACCTGAAGCCAAGTTGTGTTCAGTGCAAGACTGGCAATGGAAGCCAGTTCACTTCCTTACGCTCAGGTTCCAGCACGCACCAGCTAATGTCTTCTACCACAGAATGAATGCCTCCTCGCCGTGAGGTTAAAGCAACCATAAAAAATGCGCAAAAAAACGTTGTATACCAATTGCAATTCGAGTAGCGAATGATCAGATGCGAAAGTGGCAAGATTGTTATTTGGACTAACGCAAATATCCACTGCACATGCGACAGCAACAAAACATTACTCTGGTTTAGGCGACCGCTGGGTAGACGGCTCATGCCTTTTAAAATCACGCTACCCTTGTACAATTTAACAGCACTTGTATAAAATGGTGATTCCTGAACTTATGATCAACTCGTGCAAGATGTTGCCTTCTTTCGTTGCTGCGTCACTGATGATACCCTCGAGCCCGGGAAGTTGCGTGCCCTAAGCCAACACAAACTGCCCTTATGAAGTGTTAATAATGCACTGTGCAATATATAATATGCAATAGTATACCTTATATATCATATTATACATATAGAACGTAACATAAACATACATGCAACATAACAACAAAAATGGGGTGGGTTGGATATGGCGGATATGACGTTTCCATGTCCCTTCTACCGACATGGCATGATATGCAAAAAGAACTGAAATCTAACGCGTGCAACAATATCGCTGCGAGCGTATAAGCAAAGCCGGCCTGCGGGACTCGGAATGCCATCAACAGTAGTGCTTAAAAATGGGCGTATTTGATTTTAGAAACCTGAGGCCCACCGAGCAATTGATGCATTTTTGAAATGAAACAATAAAATATTGAGAGACAAAGTCTGGTTGAGGCAGAAGCAGCCTAGTGGCTGCTGATGACATGAACCCTAACCAAGGAAATCATACGAGGAAAAGGAAAACATGAAAACCACGAAGCAACCCATACAGGTGCGCACACAGCGTCGACTAAATCAACTCAGCGGTAGCACCACTCTCCCCTCTCCTGCCACTGTTACGCACCTGTCAGCCTGATCCCCCCCCCCCCCACACACACACACACTCATCCCTGCACCTTCTCTAGCACAATGCTCATGAATGCAGATACGCACAAGACAAATAAAAAATCCTTCAAAGCAATTAAATCATCGGCTGAATGTATTTAACTTTTGAACCGCGGATACAACAGCTGGCCCATCCCTGTCCACAAAGTCTTGGTCTGGGATAAATGCTGTAAGTTGGGATTTGTAAGCAATTTAGAAGAAAGAATCCTGCACTAAATCAGTAACAGGCACTAGACACCCAAGTCACTGCTGTCCATGTACAGGATGATCAGTGATACACTTAGCTGTGTTGGATTTTGCAGGCTTGGGTTTCCACACTGGGACTGTTAACACTAAAGAAATGATCATTCAATTTTGTCATGTCCAAGCGCAAGCGGATGTGATGCATAATATCTACAAGCGTTTGTGGGCTGGCTTCGCTAAACGACAGAGCTCCCATAGACTTGTTTTAACATTTTTCGGGGTGCATTCAACACTGTTGACGAGATTCCCTGGCCGACCTGAACTGTGGCTTCGGGATGCCTGACCGGAACTGGGTGTGATGTGTTGACTGTCAGAGAGCTAGGTGGGTAATATGAAACAAACTTAATCTGTCAGTGAGTTTTTTTTTTCCTGCAGCACCATGGAATAAATCGTTTGCAACGTTAATGGAAATCGGTGGGTAACAGTCCATCCCTCCCTCGCCCTCTTCATGCGCATTTGTGCGCTGGGATGTGGTTGTTCCAAATGCCTTCAAAAACATTTACCTGCTTCAACAAACAATCGTAAACCGATGAGGATAGCATGAATTCAAATCTAAGACAAGCGTTGACATGGCGCTTCCCGATTTTGCGTCACGTAGTGATGCGTCGAAGCTGATGAGGCACATCAAAGCATTAAAATTAAATGGTCCGGTAAAATCATTCGATAATTTTTTTTTGTAAAATGAGCCCAGGATGTGCCTATTAGAACAGAAACCAGCGATTTTCCAGCTTTCAAGTGCTTCTCCTCAGATCTCCACTGCGATTCGAGCGTTTTCGCTTTCCAAAAGTTCAAGAAAGCGGCGCTTGCTACGATTGCAGATGCTGAGTCTCCCAAAGTTCACCACTGCAACTTGTCAACGCTGGTGCAATATTGGTGTGTTGCCAAACTTAAAGGTAACTTCAAAAAACACTCCCGCGAAGCCAATGGAATACCATTTGCCGTGGCAGTTACCTTCACCGAAACATTACTGTACTTCCTGGGTCATCTTATCGCACCCGTTGCAATATATCATTCACTCGATATGTGTGGTTTCACTGCCGTTAACCAAAGCAAGAAGCTCGGGTGATGCGTTCGATCGTCGCTATGACTCACCTTTCTCGCCGCATCGAATGAATGAATGAATGAATGACAGTTGCCGGACGCCGGCAGCATACGGCGCGGGCGAGTTTCGTCATGTCACTTGAAATGCTCGCTGCCAGCGACTGAGTGGCTAAGCGGAGTATATTGGCGACGCGAAAATGTGGAACTGCAGCACTTTAGGTTAAGTTGATTGATGGACGGAGCAGTGCGCATGATAACGAATGAATGGCTGGTTAATACAGGCAATGCGCCGGTGCACGCGGTGATGTTACTAGGATTCTGGCTACCGTTTCTATGACGACGTGCTGTATTCGGCATCGTTTCTCGAAATGCCGACATTCCCCTTTTGCTCAACGAAGATAGGCGCAACCGTGCTTCACATAAACTCGTGTTGGCCACATGAGGTGACGAAGGTACGTCGCTCGACATTTTGAAATGGAATTCGCGCCCCCACGCTTTCTGACTGTCAAGATACAATATAGAAAAAACATTACGCGACAATCCATCTTGGCCGCCTTTGTGCACGTAACACGTGGCACGGGCGACATCGCGCCTGAGCCCATGTGAATCCCGTTCAATTATCTACCCAAAAGGTGTCCATATCCCATTGCTCCGACCCCTGGTTGCCGAGATGTGGCCGCAGTTTAGAACGGCTGATCGTCGGGTTCCAGCTTTATCGTCGGTCATATTCTCAGGCCGCCCGTGCAAAACCAGTGGGCCTAAAACGTGGCGTCACGAGCCACGCTCGAACCTCGGACTGGGCGGTTCGAGATCTAACCGTGGAAAACCGCCTGGTGCGCCTGCGCGTCGTGTCCGAAGTTCAGCGCTCAGCGATCTGCCGTTCGGACCGTGGACGGCGCTGCTCAAAAGGGAGCAAACAGACAAACAGACGTAACCTAAGAAAATGGCATATAGAAAATTCTGACCAGATTTTGCTGTTAAGAGATAGTATTGTGCTAAAAAGCAACCCCGAACTGCGCGAACAGGGCTGTCTTGGGAGGGAATGACTTGTGAAAGGCTTGGAGAGCCCGTTCAGCTCTTTACTTGTGCTTGGGACAAACTACCTTTGAAATAAATTTAGGTAATGATATGGAGTGGCGAGCGATGAAAAATTACGAATAAGTCGCCCAGAAGTCTCTTGTCGATTGTTCGTGTCATCAGATTTGTTCGATAGTTTGTCTCATCGATTGTTCAATTCAGTATAATATAGTAGAATGACGACGTAAATGGTGACGTTAGAATGGTAAAGTAAGCACGCGTGGCGACCGTCTACTGCTGTAAATAGTGGAAGAAGGCAAGGCAATGCTAAGCTAAAGCTAAGCTAAGAAAACAATATGCAAATGAATACATGCACGATCCACTGCTAATCATCAGATTATCGAACCAATTGTACGCTTTGGTCTTCATGAGGCATGATGATAATATTCCATGAAAATCAGTTCATGAGTAAACTACACTCCTATAATGCCTACAAACTATTATTGACATATCCGCCAGCAGTATGTAATTGGTACTACTATCAACTCATTGAAAGACATAGTGTACATCATTTTGTTCCTCTTCGGGATGCTCCAGGGTCCCGTTTTACAATCACGGTATCACGGGATAAAGAGAAGCAACGGTGTTGCCTTCCCCTCCGCGCACGTGTGATGGCAAACGCAGCAGAAGCAAATTCTCCGGCAGGCGGAAACACCATCGGGTCAAACTTTTAGGACGAGGAGTGGTGGATACCTTCAAATACCTGAAAGCGTACCAGGCTCCGACAGCCGGTATGGTTTCGTCATCCAACATTTCTCAGAAAGGGATCTGGGATTCGTTCTTCGGATCCCAGCACAAGGAGTAAGCTCTCGAATGGTTCTTCTTGGCGAGTCACAGCTTTGCTACCGTGCTGACACAAACAGACCCGCCAGACTGCTCGGTGCTGGGGTCAGAGGAAGCTCACTTCCGAGACCACACTGTCAGTGCAGCCGTCGTGTTAAAGTGAAGGCAGTCAAGGTCGCTGTCGGCTCAGTTTCTGATGAAATCCATCCGGAACGTGCTCTAGACCGCGCGCCGGCCGGCGCCAGATCCCTGACACTGATCTCGTAACGAAGTTAGGTGTACTTTAGGGTTCAAGACTCTCCAGGATGGATGTACTTATTTGCAGCTTGTTCGATCGCGTGCAACGGCGGCCGCGGAACGGTGACGAGAGCGGTGTCGGCTTGCACCTCCGGACTTTGGCCGCTCAGTCAGCCTTCCGGGGTGGTCGGTCGGTACCCGGCTGCAGCCGGCCTGGCCGCTGGTGTAACTTCCTCCGTCAAACGGATGTCCAAATGACAAAACCTGCCGTCTCAAATCGTCTCTCATTCAGCATTGTGTTTGACTCTAGCTGAATCGTAAATCAGCTCATGAGTCAAGCGTGAGTCAAAGCGTTTTGAGGTGAGTCACGAGCTGAGCCGGCTCGCAAGGAAAAATGACGATTTAAGCCATGAGCTGAATCACATTCTTCGTAAATTTCTTGACTTGAATCGTGAACCGATCATTCCTGTCAGCGAGTCATATGACTCAAAGTAAAATAGTCACATGAGATAACACAACATGCCCCGCACAGATTAACAGACCATATCAGAATGCTAAAAAATAAACAGCACGCATCGTCAGTTATAAAGCTGTTTGCAAAATTAGTGCAAAGTTTTCCATTGTGATTTTCTAAGCATTAAGCACAATCTTGTTCATCCTGATCTCAAGTCTGTCAGATCTCAGCCAGGTACAAGAGGGTATGACATGGTAAAGACGTCACACATCTTTTCGTCTTACGCTAAAATCAGTGAAAGATCGTCTGCCACCTGTATAATCCAAGGGTTGGCCATATTTTGCATTACTCGTTGTCACAACAATGAACTAATCCATACTTGACCCATCATTCACTACTTGACCTGCTGTGAGCATACTATTGCTGAAGATAAATATAGTTAACGGTACTAGTGGTATGAGCGTCTCATCTTATAGGCGGAATGTATGTCGCGGAATATAACCTCCCGTTTATTTCAGCAATAAGTATTTCCAGTTTTGAAACGGGTGAATGATATTTCTTTGCTACACTTCATGTGAATCTACCTTTTTCGAAACTAATAAATTTATGCATTTTTGTCAAGCCATCTGAACTATAAACGTTTATTCTTCAGCGCCAAATCAACTTCGTCTTTGTTGCTGGGAGCACGGGTTGTTGTCGTCTTTGCTGCTGGGAGCATATCTACAACGGCGCACGCGTGACGGTCGCGCATCACTGCGAGCTTGCCGCGGATGACACGGTATAATCAGCCCTCCACATATGGCGTGTCTTCACTACAACTCTGCTCCAATGCTAGGCCATGGATAGCAAACGACATGAGGGAACTTTTCACCGACATATTGTACCAACATACATTTTGTTCGGCACACTGACACCAGCCGACTGCCCCAGATGGAAGCCGAGGTACTGCTGACCTCATTTCATACCGAATTAATTAGCCGAACGAATTTTGGTTAATGCTCCACATATGGCAACGCAACCTGTATGTGTATGCATAGATATGAACGGCTAGTTTCCATGAAGTAGACCGGTACTTGAAACTTACGCCTCTAAAGCTGAAAACTTCAGTAAGGTGTGTTTTACATACTCCCACTAGCATGAATGGAAGTGAGCTGTGACTGAGACCAGCGTTAGGAGTAGTGTAATACACACTGCACCGTGTGTCGGTGACTGTGGGAGGAACGTGGACGAGCACGCCAAGGGAACAGAGGACAGCCCTTCCTCCCGAAGCCGAGCCCATCGCCCTCGGGCAGAGGTGCCGTGTTGATATTTGCGGAGGATCGGGAGCACGCCGGGCAAGTCGCTCCATTCTGTTCGGACGCAGTGCCTGGCACCTGGCCACGCGCTGTCTGCCACCCCGGCCGCTGCCAAAACACCGATCCCATGACCGGCCCCGCCCCCTCCGGGACACGTCAATGTGACCTGCCCGCCCGCGACAACGGCGCCGGGGGAAGCCTCTGACGAACGGATCGAAGGTCATTGAAGGTCAGACGGCCAAGGGCTGCAGGCCACCGTTGCTTCTGCAGACGACCAACGGTGATCCAGGGGGCGTCAGACGTAAGGTAAATAAGACGATATGTTGCCGTCTGTTCGCTGCGAAACGGCTCAACATCACGACATGCAGGGTGGATGCCACTCGGATTTCTGCCTCAGTACTGTCTTCCATCCCCAGACTGGACTGACCGCCAAAACCAGCGGCTCGTGCTGACCTGGTCATAGAGACAGGGCCACTTAAGATTCCATGCATCCCATGAGTCATGAAAACGGTTCAGTACATTCTATTTGGAGGCTCCAGTTACAAAACTGCAAACCTCACAACTCCCAGCCACACCTATAGCACCTTATAGACACGCTCCCTATGACCCTTCGGCATGGCGCATGGTGCAGGATAGAACGCAATAAAACTTCATCTAACATGAAACGCCCAAACCCACGTAGCCGCGGCAGCTGTCAGGCATGAGTGTCGGTGCAGACCGCCGCCACAGCTGTGGCTGACTCAGCGGGTCGGTCCAACGGCCACACACAAGCGCGCGCGCCGGTAACCAGCGCCGCTTGCGGCAATGTTGCGGAGCGCCGAGTGCGGACAGGCGCTGGGCGCAGCTGGGATCTGTGCGCTGGGCACAGCTGGGACGGCTTGCACAGTCAGGTGCGCTACTCACAGGCCGGCGAGACGTGCAGACAGGCCCAGCATTGCGCTCAGCTGCGGGGGTCGGACGGCCGGTCCGACGGCTGGAGGACGAATCGATGGCGTCCGGCGGCGGCGGCGGCGGCGGCGGCGGCGCAGGCGCGGTCGGCGGCTCTAAATAGCGCGGCGGTGCCTCCAGCGGCGCCCCCCTGACCGACTGGGCACGGCGCGCCCTTGACAGGCGCCGCTCGCCCGCGAGGCCCGGCGGCACTGCGACACGGCGACGGCCGGCTCCGCTCGGCCATGTGACCGCACGCCGACGGTGCTGTAGGATGGGCGGGGGGGGGGGGTCGACCCCCCGCCTGCGCACGCCCGCCGCACCGGCGCTATGCGGGGGGGGGGGGGGGGAGCGGCGGGAGCTAGGGAAATAATCAGACCATCAGACCGTTCACCGTGACAGACAAGAGTAAACATCGCGATCGATAGCCTATCTATTCAGATGTCCACTCCGTCTGAAGCATTGTCGTCAGTGTCTAGACTGTTTTGCATGCCCCGAGGGACGGGTGGAACACCGCCATGCATGAACTTTTAGTGTAACAGAATCCGTTGCATGCATTCCGGGTCGATTGCAGGGCAAAAGATCGTAAAGCAAATGATCGCGTTGAGAAATATTGCAAAGAGGGAATCATGAAATAACGATCTCATGAGACGAAAGGCCGTGCGCCCAAAAACTACTCTAAGGACCGTGCGCTAAATGTCGGAAGCAAAAGACAGCTGTTGGCTGAGTACAAAGCTGAAAACCTCGGCTGAAAGCGCGGTGGGCGAAAACTGTAAAACACCTAGTCAGCAGACATTAGAAGCATGCGGCCACCGTCCTCAAAACCCCCATGGAGCGAATTATGAAAATCGTAGCCGAAGACGATTTAAGTTACAGCACGCTGTGGGAATACTCCAAAAAGGTCTCGGACTGATACTATGCAGAGCATCGGTCTATCAAACACTGACAGCTGAAAGACTCGTTTTACGACCTTGTTTTGTACCGAATGCACGGTTGATGACGACTTAATCAACACCATTTGGCTCAGTGACGATGATCACTTTCTGAAAGATACGTGACCGAAAACAGTGAGCCTCGAAAATCGGCACCTTTCGGCATTAGTTCCAGAAGCACGCTCGGGCGCCACCGCCACTGGGGTCGATGGGGCCATGATCCCCGTAAGGTTTGGGCAAATCCGATTTATTTGTGTTTGGCCAAATGAAGTGGAAATAAAACAGAACTGGACCTTTGTGACACGTTCGTCAGCATTAAAACTTAATATGACAGACTATTTAGTCCTTTTACACCTGACCCGAGTGAGCTGTTTCTACCAGGTTAGATTACTTACATGTAACCTCGCAGGTACTCAAAATTTGTGCGCGGTGAAGATGTTTAAAAAATGGCGCTCCGCCAGGTATCACTAGCTGTGCGTGCGCGAGACCTTCAATCCCTATCTGGGGCTGCGAAGATGGTTATGTCATGGGCTCCAGCAACGCTTGCGGTTTCGCACATTGTCATCAAAAGAGGCCAGACCAAATACATATTGGAAAGGACGTCAAATTTGCTCTAGAACAGGTGATGCTATTAACCGAGATGACTGGGATTGTTAGTGGTGGTGTAAAATCCATTAAAACGTGAAGATTACGTCAGGTGAAGTTGAGTCATGCGTTTCGCAGTTGCAGCTCTTCCATGGAGATAGCGCCACCAGGGATCCATCGGTCAGGAAGATTGACGAATTAATTTCCAAATAAGTTGCAAGATTGCCTGGCGAGAAAAAGAAAGCAGCTTTCACTAAGCCCGCAATAATTCGATGGTAATTTAAGGAAGTGCTTCACATCTGTATGCCGTTTTGAACTGAAATAGCCATCTTAAGGACAATTCGGCGCAGTTTACAGCCATGCCCATCATAATACCAATACCGCTCTAGGTTCTGAGCTACACTCCCGCAAAGATGTGCAGCCTATTTCGGGGAGGCTATTTCGAGGTCACCCAGACATCAATGACGCCATAATATCTTCATTTAAATGATACCATTCCATTGGCAATGCGGCGACCAAGTCCAAGACAAATACGATTGTCGAGTCGTTCATAGCTGGCATTCTGGAGCACGATTTCCCGATATAACGGCCGGCAATTGGTTCCCAATCAATGCTGTGCGAGGCATGTGATAACGCAATCAAACAAAGACGCATTGAGGATCATATTTACTAAACAAAGACATTGTATTGTCTTGGGCAGTCTTTTCAAATTAAAAGCATACCGATAGTTATAAGTGAGCCTGTTCCATCACATCTTATGCTTGCTTCAACATATTTAAATTGGAACATTCCTCTTGATACAAGCCACAACATCCACAGCACGAGCTACTACATCCACAGCACGAGTTACTGCATCCCCAGCACGAATGACTACTTCCAAAGCACGAGTTACTGCATTCACACATACAAACGTGTGCGAGCTATAGACATTCACATGGACAAAAACGTGCACGGGACTTGCCTTACTGTATTGTGGCGACGTTAATATGCAAGCACCAATTTTTCCAAGGCTTGTTCTTCTTGGAGCATGCAACAAGCACTCCTCGGAAAAAGACCAAGAACATCGTGCGGTAACATCAACAAGTAACGACAGACCGACCGGTGCCTTCCCCCCAAAAAATGTGTCTCCGAAGCGGTACTCCCGTGACCGCGCTGAATGATCCGGACAGTTCTCGGATCATATGCCAAATAAAACCTCGAATGAAAACGGACATTTTATCGCGTTTTCATACCCACTTTATTTTGTGTGTCATACTGTGACGACCTCTTTCCATCGTCACCAAGAACCTCGTTCCTCCACCTTGTCAAGAACGCTCTGCGGCTATGATCAAAGAAAGAGTTTAGAGAGTTAAGAGAAAGTATTTCGGGATTTCCCTGCAGTGGCAACTGACATCGGCACGACTACACACACCTGCCAATTTCAGAGGCGGCACGCGTGACAAGCGACGCTCGGCTCCGAGACAGAGCGGGAGGGGGAGGGGGCTTCATTTTAGTACGGGGACCGCAGACCGGAGGAGCACACACGTGCCGTGACTCAGGAAGCGGCACGCCGCCGCGGGGGATGGGGCGCTCACCACGTGTCCCGCCGCTTAAAAGACATCACGCCCGCTGGGTCTGCACACTGAAGCGGACGCATCTGAGATCGGACGACATGCAGCTGCTGCTCCTCGCCCTGCTGGTGACCGGCGCTCGGTGTGCCCTGCTCCCCCGTCAGCCGTCGGCCGGCGCGTACGGCCGACCCGCGCCGCCGGCTCCGCACCCCGACCATGTGCGGGAGGTGAACCACAACCCGGGCGGCGGCGTCTCCGGCCCGCTGGGCGGCGTCGTCGGCTCGTGCGCCGCCTCGCTCGTGTGCGTGCCGCCGGCCGAGTGCAACCCGTACACGGGCTTTGTGCACGGCGGTCTGCGGCTAGAGCCGGCCGCCCGGTCCCTGCAGCCGACCGTGGCGCTGCTTCGCTGCTACCGGCTGCAGGACGGCAGCAGGGGAGACGGCGTGTGCTGCCAGCAGCCTCATCTCGACGACCCGTGGCCCAAGCAGACCACGCCACGGCCGTACGGTGTCCGCTACGCAGCCCGCTAGACTGCGGCCGCCGCTCACTGACGGCTCCTGGACACAGCAGACACCGCTACTGTGTCTTTCCGTGCTGTCCAGATACGCAGCACCATCAACGAGTGTGCGCACATCACAGTCGGCTCTTGGAAGATGAATGGACTGTGACTCAAGCATCTTGAGCTTTTTCATAGCGTTCTTTTCATGCATTTACATAGGCGTAACGCTGAATTACGAAGCTGTTTGAGTGCCCAGACCCTAGAATGTGCTCAAGCGATACTTCTGAATCACGGCCCATGCCCTGTGCGACGATGGCACGCGTGACATGGGTACGTTGCTTGGACGTCGCAGTAAAACGCGACCGACCCAAATCTCGAAGGTCTTGTGCATCCGCGTTATTCGTTGGATGATCAATTATTTTTTTCGAATATACGGCTGTGGTGGACACTGTGTGCCATGGAGTACAGGCGGTTTTCTGCTTGCGTGCAAAGTTGACAGTCCATACATGGGCGTGTTTTCTTCTTGTATGTACAGCTACACGTTCAGCGAAAAGAAGTGTCGCATCGCTTGTTTATAGTTGGTGTTAGGTTGCAAACCCGGCGACCTTTTTTCATTGCCGAAGAAAATCTCGTGTAGTTTGTGTGAGCAACGAAGATTTTGAGCTCTTGTTTGTTTTGTTTTTTTGCAATTTGATTTCTAAACTCGAATGCAATGAGTTGCTTTTCTGCTGCGATAGGCCACGGACATTCAGAGGCTGTTTTGATCGGCAAAAGTACCGGAAAAAACATCATATCATTACGCACAAACCTGACTTCCTGGCGTGCTGCTTGACCCTCGCATTCAAAATCGTACAGAAAGTTGTTGGACAGTCCTAAAAATCCCTGGAGTTACTTACAAGACCCACTCCCTGCATACTATTATGAGAATCCGGGACACCGGCCTGCTCTTGCGAATTTTGACACCGACATTCACACACAGTCGGCATCAAATGGATAAAATACAAAAACTTAGAGACAAAGTAGGCTTTCAAATTACAGCTGTAAAAACGGCATAGTACAGGAGACGAATCCAAAGAATTGCTTCTGACCAAAGAGGGTGTTGGTACAGGCAAGGAGCTAGCTTAACCAACTGAAAACCAAAATCATGGAGTCTTGATCTTGCGGAAGCCAATAACGACAAATCAAAACCGAAATTAGTAAGTCAGTTTTTTGCAGAAAAAATTGCACAACGTATGGAATGCTGCGCACAGAAGAGCTTCCCTGCAATCTGCCTGCCAATGACATTCCGTTTGAGATACAGCCGTGGCAAGTCTCCGTTCAGTTGTCGCAGTTGAAAAAAATATGACTGTGCCCCCTAGACAACTTCCAGTGCGGTTACTAAATGAATTTTCTGTAGAGCTGGCAGTGCCGCCTACTCATATTTTTAATCGATCATTGCATAAAGGGTGCGTGCGATCGGTGTGGAAGAGAGCTACAATCC